TGCCCGGGTGGGCTCCAGAGCTGCCCTGCCCAACTGCAGCGCAGCAGCAAGAGCTGTGTGCAGCCCTCCCGCATCCCAGGTGAGTCCTGTGCTCCTGCGCACCCAGGCAGGCACCCAGGGAAGCCCTTTCCCTGCAGGGGGATGGGCTGTGGGAGTGCTCCCTGCCTCAGCAAGCTGCTGCAGTGCCAGCCCCGTTCTAGCCTGGGGGGGCAGACACCTGGCAATGGGATGTTTGGTGCTGCTGGAAGATGCCGCTTGGGGTTTGCTGTTCCTGGCTGCAGCCACAGCCTTGGGCAGGGCGCTGGGTCCTTGGAGAGGGGTGGGAAGGAGGAGGCTTGGATCCTCCTCAGGAGGGGCTCTGGGTTTGCTGCTGTTGCCCAGGAGCTGCCTCATCTCTTTCTCTGCTCTTGTCTTCCTCAGAGCCTCGTTGCAGGAGCAGCACCAGGAAGGGCAGGAAGAGGAGGCCCAAAGAACTCACCCCTGTGCCCCCTGCCCACACCCCCAGCCGATGAGGCTCTAGCACTGGTGGCTCCTGGATCCCTCCCCATGGCCCTATCAAAGTTACCAGATTTATGTGTCCGTGTCCCCTTTGCCTGATTCCAGCCTGGAAGCTTCCAATTAAACCTTCCAGGCTGCTCCTGGTTCCTTTGCCTCATTCAGAGGGGGCTGTGGAGGAAGAGGAGGAGGAGGGGGAGCCCAGCGCTGCCTCCCGCAGCCACCCCCAGGGACGGTTTTCCATGCTTGGATCCCTGGAGCCCCTGTGCTGTGTCCCCTGCCCCGTGCGGGCTCTGCACCGCAGGCACTGCTGCCAGTTGATAGGGACAGGGGCCTGCTGGCCCCATGGCTGCCCCACAGCGTGGGTCCACAGGGGGGTCACTGCTCCAGCAGGCTGGGGATGCCAAGCATCACCTATGGTGCAGGGAGTGCCCCACTTGAGGTGGGTCTGGGGGTGAAACTGCTGCCTTTTGCTGGTGACACTGGCCCAGGACAGCTTGTGGGGACACAGGGCTGGACAGGGACAAGGAACTTCCTGGGTTAAATGGGGATGTGGCAGCCAGAGGCTGGCTCTGTGCTGCCCCAGTGCCACCACTGTGCCCCACTGTAACCAGTGGCTCTGGATGCCCAGAGGTTGCACCCATGACCGCTGCTACAACCGCCCCTCTCCTGATGCTGTCGGTGCCCCAGTGCTGGTGGCTGTGGTCCAGCAGGGCCTGGCTGCTATCCCAGTGCTGCAGCCCCCAGGGAGCCTTTCCCAGCCATCAGATGCCACCTTGCTGCCAGCCTGTGCGACCTGTCCCCATCCTGTCCTCAGCATCCCTGCAGTGAGCCCCTGACCCCCAGCTTCATCCTGGCTGCCTCTTGTGGTAGCATCCATGCATGTGTCCCCCATGTCCCTTACAGCCCTGTGCCCCCAAACCTCACTTTATCCATGCCCGGGCTGTCCCCAAGGCCTGGCCATGCCCCAGGGTGCCCGTGTCCCCATCCCTGCCACTGCCCCTGGCTCCGTTCCTGTGTGTCCCGGCAGCGGTGCCCGGCACAGAGGCTCCCATTGCCTGTGCTCAGCCCTGCACACAAAGCCCCTTTCAACCACCCAGGGAAAGCCCCTGGCACGGAGCCCCTGCCCGGGGAGGGCTCTGGGCCTCGCTCCATCCCCATGGGGCAAAAGACCCCCATCCTCAGTGCATGGGTGAGCGGGGTATGGCCATGCACACAGAGCTGGGGCTGGGCCCCAGGGTCCTGAGCTCCTTTACAGAGCTCTGGGATGGAAGGGCCTGGGGAGGCTCCAGCCACTTGAGTAGCAGCCTCCTGCAAGGAGCCCCGGGGCTGAGCTGCTCGTGCTGGGGCTTGTCCGGGGGCTGTGACCCGGGGAGCGTGGCCATGGGTGCACCGGCCATGGGTGCCTGCGTGTGCAGAGCAGGGTGGCTGTGGCTGTGCCTGGGGCACACGTGCAAGGGTGGATGAGCGTGTGCAGCTCTAGGGGTGCACCCACGGTCAGGGACCGCAGCACGGGTGTGTATGTGCCCAGGGCACACACGGGCAGGGGTAGGCACATGTGTGCTGCACACGGGTGTGGAGGGATGGAAGTGCATGTGTGTGCTTCCCTGGGAGCATGGGCACACACGGATGTGCACGTGTGAGTGAAAATGCAGCTCCAGCTCCATTTTACAGTGCTCCCAGATCAATGTCTTGTGGCTGTAAACAGCTCCCGGTTGTTGTATCCCCAGCATCCCCCGTGTGCACAGGGTGCGAGGCTGCCATTGCTGGGGCTGATGAGGGAATGGCAGCCCCCATGCAGCCGTCCCACAGCAGCCTGAAAGCACTCCTGGCTGTGGCAGCCGGCAGGCACAGGGTGTCTTGTCCTGTCCATTGCCTGCAGATGCTCTCCTGTGGCTGGGCGGAAGCCACGGTAGGGGCAGTCCTGTTGTGAGGTGCTGATGGAGGTGGTGGAACTGATGGAGGTGATGGAGCCAATGGGGCTGATGGGCCTGATGGAGGTGATGGGGCTGGTGGAGGTGATGGAGGTGATGGAGCCAATGGGGCTGATGGAGCAGATGGAGCCAATGGGGCTGATGGAGCTGAAGGAGGTGATGGGGCTGATGGAGGTGATGGGGCTGATGGAGGTGATGGGGCTGATGGAGCCGATGGGGCTGATGGAGGTGAAGGAGGTGATGGAGGTGATGGGGCTGATGGAGCTGATGGGGCTGATGGAGCTGATGGGGTGATGGAGGTGATGGAGCCAATGGGGCTGATGGAGCTGATGGGGTGATGGAGGTGATGGAGCCAATGAGGCTGATGGAGGTGATGGAACTGATGGGGCTGATGGAGGTGATGGAGCTGATGGAGGTGATGGAGCCAATGGGGCTGATGGAGCAGATGGAGCCAATGGGGCTGATGGAGCTGAGGGGGCTGATGGAGCCGATAGGGCTGATGGAGGTGATGGGGCTGATGGAGCTGATGGAACTGATGGGGCTATGGAGCTGATGGGGTGATGGAGGTGATGGAGCCAATGGGGCTGATGGAGGTGATGGAACTGATGGGGCTGAGGGGGCTGATGGAGCTGAAGGAGGTTATGGGGCTGATGGAGGTGAAGGAGTTCATGGAGGTGATGGGGCTGATGGAGCTGATGGGGCTGATGGAGCTGATGGGGCTGATGGAGGTGAAGGAGGTGATGGAGGCGATGGGGCTGATGGAGCCGATGGGGCTGATGGAGCTGATGGAACTGATGGGGCTATGGAGCTGATGGGGTGATGGAGGTGGTGGGGCCAATGGGGCTGACGGAGCAGATGGAGCCGATGGGGCTGATGGAGGTGAAGAGGGTGATGGAGGTGATGGGGCTGATGGAGGTGATGGGGCTGGTGGAGGTGATGGGGCTGGTGGAGGTGATGGAGCTGATGGAGGTGGTGGAGCCAATGGGGCTGACGGAGCAGATGGAGCCGATGGGGCTGATGGAGGTGAAGAGGGTGATGGAGGTGATGGGGCTGATGGAGCCGATGGGACTGATGGAGCTGATGGGGTGATGGAACTGATGGGGCTGATGGAGCTGAAGGAGGTGATGGGGCTGATGGAGCCAGGGCTGTGCTGCCCCTCTCGCTGTTCCATCCAGCAGCTCTGGTGTCACCCGATCCATCCCACCCGTTCCTCCCAGCCCTGGATTCATGCCCAGGGCACTTTAAACACCCTGAGCAGGGCTCCTCCCGTGTGCCCTGTGTCTTGCAGGCACTCTTGAGGCTTTGTCTGTGGGGTCTCTACAGACGGCCCCAGTGCTCCCATAGATTGAAAGGGTTTGGGGGTTGTTCTCCTTCACTGCACGGCTCCAGTTTCCATCCCGGCCGTGCCACCGGTGCAGCGCTGGGAGCCGGATCGGGGGGCAGCTTCTTTTGGACATGGGGATCAAACAACTGAAGGGGCTGCAGTGCCTGCTTCCAACCCCCCCCCTTAAAAACTGATACAGGAACCTGGCAAGAAAATACACACAGAACACTGCCTGCACCAACACACACACACAGACACAGACACAGACACAAGGGATCCCACAAGCACACTGCACACAATCACAGTGTTTGAAACACAAAATCCAGACCATCCTTACCCCACTCCCCAGCCCCACGCGCAGAACGTGGCGCCAGGACCCTGTGGGGATGGATAGTCAGGATGGAAAAGTCTCCAGGGGTCGATGGAAACATGGATGTATTTGTATGTGCCAGATGCTGGTGCGTGAATATCCCAGAGAGACCCTATCAAATGAGCTGTATATGGGGCCCCGAGCCCATGGTCTGTCACTGTCTGCCTGGTGTCTTTGATGAGAGCATAGGAGCGACCTTCCCACCGTGGGTCCTGGTCCGGCAGACACACCACCGGGAAAGCACTCGATCCATCCGCATCCCTGCCCCTCTCGCTCCTCCCTTTACAGCTGCCCGTTTATCATGGGATCTGGGGGATGTGAATCAGGATCCTTGTCTGGATCCACAGGCCCCGGGTCCAAAGGAGCATCCCGGTCAGCATCAGCAGAACCACAGGAGAGCCACGTGTGTGTGCATGGCAGGGGGTGCACACCCACCCCCTGAGCCTGCCCAGGGGCTCTCCCTACCCTGAGCACCTCAACACGCTGCTGGATGGATCCCCAGGGAGCAGACACAGCCCAGGCACTGCAATGGGCACCCTGTGACACCTAGGACCCGGCACCCAGTGTCCCCATGGCATTGTGCCCAGCGAGCCCTACGGGTAGGGATGGAGCCGGGATGGGGATGGAGAAGGGGTGGGTAGGGATGGCCATGCGCTGTGCTCCCCATGCCCCAGGCCCTGGATCCCAGCAGAGCCTATGGATGGGGCAGGCAGTTCCCGGTGCCCAGGCCGGGTGCCAGGGCACATTGACCCCTGCAGGCGCCGCAGAGGCTGGGGTTTGTGCCATCCCTCCAGCTCTGTGGCCGGTGCCAGCAGGACGGGGGCTCCCGGGCTCCATAAAACCCCTCCTCCCGGCACATCGCGCCCATCCCATCGGCATGGAGAGCCAGCGCCCGGCCTCCTCCTCCATTAACCCAGGCACCGCTGCCCCGCTGTACCGGGGAGCACCCCGCAGCACCCAGCACCCAGGTCCCCGCACGGGTGCGGGCAGGATGGATTTCTCGCTGGCCACGGCGCTCAACTCGGCCTTCAGGGAGACGCGCGCCAAGGAGAAGGGGGAGCTGATGGAGCTCAACGACCGCTTCGCCGGCTCCGTGGGGAAGGTCCGGCTGCTGGAGCGGCAGAACCGGGCGCTGGTGCTGGAGCTGGAGCTGAGCCGGGCACGGGAGCAGGAGCCCTCGCGTGTGCCCGGTGTCTGCCGGGAGGAGCTGCGTGCGCTGCGGGGCCGCCTGGAGCGCTTGGCCACTGCCAAGGCCCATCTGGAGATGGAGAGGGACAGCCTCAGCCAGGACCTCGGCAGCCTCCAGCACAAGTAAGGAGCTGCCTGGCTTGGGGTAGGCGCGGGGTCAAGGTGGCCGCTGTGAGCAGGAGGATGAGCAGGACCTGAGTGGTGATGGGGAGCAGGGGGACCATCATGGTGGCCACCGGGACAGGACTGAGAGTGGCCACTGGGGATGGGTGTGAGGGGCATCACCAGGATCAGGGTGGGTGCTGGGATGGTGATCGGGCTTCTTGTGGGGACCAGTGTGGTGATGGGGACCATGGTAGTAACAAGGACCAGGGTGACATCTAGGACTAATGAGAGAATTGGGGTGTCCCCAGGGATCTGGGTGGTCACCAGGACCAGGGTAGTGCTGGGGTCAGGTACTGCTGGGTACCAGGGTGGTGATGGGGACAGGGGTGGCCCCTGGGGACAGTGGTGGAGGGTGTGGGATGGGCACATGCACCTAACCTAGGGTGTAGGGGCTGGTGTTGTGGGGCTGTGTCAACCTGGGGGGGGGTCTGTCCAAGGGGCTGAGGGTAATGGTGCTGAATGGGTAATGGTGCTGAATGGGTAATGGTGCTGAATGGGTAATGGTGCTGAATGGGTAATAGTGCTGAACAACTGATGGTGCTGAATGGGTACTGGTGCTGAATGGGTACTGGTTCTGAATGGGTAATGGTGCTGAACAGGTGATGATGCTGAATGGGTACTGGTGCTGAATGGGTAATGGTGCTGAACAGGTAATGGTGCTGAAGGGGTACTGGTGCTGAATGGGTAATGGTGCTGAATGGGTACTGGTGCTGAACGGGTAATGGTGCTGAACAGGTGATGATGCTGAATGGGTACTGGTGCTGAATGGGTACTGGTGCTGAATGGGTACTGGTGCTGAATGGATACTGGTGCTGAACAGGTAATGGTGCTGAACGGTTAATGGTGCTTTTCCACCCCGGCACAGGCTGCAGGATGAGGTGACCCTGAGGCTGGAGGCTGAGAGCAACCTGGCTGCCTACAGGCAGGTGAGGACAGGGTCAGATCCTGCATCCCCCACCCTGCATCCCCCACTCCTGCAGGGATGGGGATGGAGCTTGGGTGAAGCAGGGATGGGGATGGACAGATTGGGTAGGGATGGGGATGGAGCAGGGATGGGGATGGAGAAGGGATGGGTGGGGATGGAGAAGGGATGGGGATGGAGCAGGGATGGGGATGGAGAAGGGATGGGTGGGGATGGAGAAGGGATGGGTAGGGATTGAGCAGGGATGGGGATGGAGAAGGGATGGGTAGGGATGGAGCAGGGATGGGGATGGAGAAGGGATGGGTAGGGATGGAGCAGGGATGGGGATGGAGCAGGGATGGGGATGGAGAAGGGATGGGGAAGGATGGAGCAGGGATGGGGATGGAGCAGGGATGGGGATGGAGAAGGGATGGGGAGGGATGGAGCAGGGATGGGGATGGAGAAGGGAAGGGATGGGTGGGGATGGAGCAGGGATGGGGATGGAGCAGGGATGGGCAAGGAAAGGCAGGGCAGGGATGGGGCAGGGCCAGGCAAGGCCAGGGCAGGGATGGGCAGGAGCAGGCAGCTCAGGCGGCAGCAGGCCCCTGGCACAGCCCCTCCTGTCTCTCCCCGTGCTCACAGGACGTGGACGCCGCTGCCTTGGCTCGCCTGGACCTGGAGCAGCGCGTGGGGACCCTGCAGGAGGAGATCTCCTTCCTGCGCAGGGTGCACGAGGAGGTAGCGATGCTCGGGGAGCCCGGGCAGGGGGGCCCCGGTGCTGGGGGGGGTCCTGCTGACCATTGCTGTGCCCCCAGGAGCTGCGGGGGCTGCAGGAGCACTTGGCCCTGCAGCGGGTGCCCGTCGGGGGGGACACGAGCAAGCCCGAGCTCGAGGCTGCCCTGCGCGAGCTCCGCGGGCAGTACGAGGCCATGGCCACCGGCAACGCGCAGGACACCGAGGGCTGGTACAAGTCCAAGGTGCGGTAAGAGCCAAGCTCCCAGTGGGAGGGTGGCCTGGATGTGCCCTGCTTAGGGCCAGGTTGGACATAGGGCTTGGAGCAAGCTGCTCCAGTGGAAGGGTCCCTGCCCGTGGCAGGGGTTGGAGCTGGATGGGTTTTAAGCTCCCTTCCAACCCCAAGCACTCTGTGATTTATGGTGCGTGTGGTTTGGGGTCCTCACTGTCTCTGTTTGTGTCTCACATCCTGGCTTGGTCCCTGTGGGGAGCAGGGATGTGTCCCCTGTGGTAACTCATGCAGGCACGGTCCCTAGGGATTGTGTGGCATCACCCACGTGCACCATCCCACAGGAGCAGGGACACGGCCCCTGTGACATCCCAAGGCACCGTCCCTCCCACCCGCGGAGCTGGGACACGTCCCCAGCAGTTGCCATCAGGGATGTGTCCCACATCCCCTGCCCCATCCCCTCAAGGGCACAGGGACATGCTCCCACAACACGTGCCATCAGCCACGTGCACTGCTCCTCACACCCAGGACAGCAGGAACATGTCCCAGCACCACACGTGCTGGGGGCACATCCTGTGTGTGCTCTGCCTTCCTCCCATGGGAGCAGGGATGTGTCCCCAAGACTGGAGCTGGGATGTGCTCAGGACCCTTTGTGCTGCGGGAACAGGGACATACCCCCAGCTGTGAGCATGGGCACGTCCCTGGTGGCACTGGGGGTTAGGGTTAGGGTCAGGGTTAGGGTTAAGGTCAGGGTTAGAGTTAGGCTCTGGGTTAGGGTCAGGGTTAGGGTCACGGTTAGAGTTAGGCTCTGGGTTAGGGTCAGGGTTAGAGTTAGGCTCTGGGGTAGGGTCAGGGTTAGGGTCAGGGTTAGATTTAGGGTCAGGGTTAGGGTCAGGGTTAGAGTTAGGGTCAGGGTTAGGGTCAGGGTTAGGGTTAGGCTCTGGGGTAGGGTCAGGGTTAGGGTCAGGGATTAGGGTAGGGTTAGGGTCAGGGTTAGGTTAGGGTCAGGGTTAGGGTAGGGTTAGGTTATAGGGTCAGGGTTAGGGTCAGGGAGGGTAGGTTAGGTAGTAGGTTAGGGTAGGTTAGGGTAGGGTTAGGGTAGGAGGGTAGGGTTAGGTAGGGTTAGCAGGGTTAGGGTCAGGGTTAGAGTTAGGGTCAGGGTTAGGGTCAGGGTTAGAGTTAGGCTCTGGGTTAGGGTCAGGGTTAGAGTTAGGCTCTGGGTTAGGGTCAGGGTTAGGGTCAGGGTTAGAGTTAGGGTCAGTTATAGAGAGAGGGTAGTAGTTATTAGGTATAGCAGGGTTAGGGTCAGGGTTAGAGTTAGGCTCTGGGTTAGGGTCAGGGTTAGAGTTAGGCTCTGGGGTAGGGTCAGGGTTAGGGTCAGGGTTAGAGTTAGGGTCAGGGTTAGGGAGTGTGGGTTAGGTAGGGTTAGAGGTGGGTTAGGGTAAAAATAGGGTTAGGGTAGGAGTAGGGTTAGGGTCAGGGTAGGAGGTTAGGGTAGTTAGGGTCAGGGTTAGGGTCAGGGTTAGAGTTAGGGTCAGGGTTAGGGTCAGGGTTAGGGTCAGGCTCTGGGTTAGGGTCAGGGTTAGTGTCAGGATTAGAGTTAGGGTCAGATTTGGGGTCAGGGTAATGTTAGTGTTAGGGTCAGGGTTACGGTTAGGGTCCCGGTTAGTGTCCCGTTTAGGGTCAAGGTTAGAGTCAGGGTCCCGGTTAGGGTCAGGGTTAGAGTTAGGGTCAGATTTGGGGTCAGGGTTAGGGTTAGGGTCAGGGTTAGGGTCCCGGTCAGGGTTAGGGTCAGGGTTAGGGTCAGGGTTAGGGTCAGGGTTAGGGTCCCGGTTAGCGTCAGGGTTAGAGTCAGGGTCAGGGTTAGGGTCCGGGTTAGATTTAGGGTTAGGGTTAGGGTCAGGGTTAGGGTCCCGGTTAGGGTCAGGGTTAGAGTCAGGGTCAGGGTTAGGGTCCGGGTCAGGTTCAGGGTCAGGGGTTCTCTCCATGCCGGGTGCCCCCAGGGCTCTCACCCCGCAGCCCCGCGGGTCCCTGCCCTGCTCTCCTCCCTCCCGCAGTTCTCAGGCCTGAGGGATGCGGCCGCCCGTGGTGCTGCTGCCGTGCGCGGAGCCAAGCAGGAGGCCCACGAGTACCGGCGCCAGCTGCAGGCGCTCACCTGGGAGCGGGAGGCTCTGCGGGGCTCGGTAGGCGATGGGTGCGCGGTGCGAGGGGGAGAACGCGGCCTCCGCCCCCGGCCCGGAGGAGCTGCCCTGCGCTGGGGCCCCAGGCCCGGAGGCGCACGGGTGCCATGAGGGTGTCCCCAGAACCGGTCCCTGGAGCGGCAGCGGTGGGAGCTGGGGGAGTGCTGGGCGCTGGAGGCGGCCGCGCAGCAGGAGGCGGTGGCGCGGCTGGAGGAGGATGCCCGCGGGCTCAAGGAGGAGATGGGGCGGCACCTGCAGGAGTACCAGGACCTGCTCAGCATCAAACTGGCCCTCGACGTGGAGATCGCCGCGTACCGCAAGCTGCTGGAGGGCGAGGAGAGCAGGTGACGGCACAGGGGCTCCATCCTGCTCCTCTCCCCATCCCCAGCCATGCCCCGAGCCAAGACCCAGCCCTGGGCGGGCTGGAGCTGGTGTTGAGGGCAGCAGGGCCCTATTGCTCCCCCCATTGCTCCTGCAGGATCAGCATCCCTGTGCAGAGCTTCTCTACCCTGCAGATCCGAGGTGAGCCTGGGGCTATGCTTGGGGCAGGATGGGGGGACAAGCAGGGGCTCTGTGGGAGAAGATGCCACCTTGACCATCCCTGCCCCATCCAGAGGGACCAGGAGGGGTCCTGCCGGGGAGCCAGGAGTCCTGGGTTCTCCCAAGTTGTATGTGGGGAGCGTCCCATGGCCACATCCCCAAAGCTGAGCATGTCCCAAGGCCAGTGGTGTCCCCGTTACTGCCCAACCCACTGTGTCTCCAGTGCCAATGACATCCCCAAGGCCAACTGTGCTCCTCAGCGCCAGCGTTGTCCTCAAGGACAGCCCTGTCCCCAAGTCCAAATCACATCCCAAAACCACGATGTCCCCATTGTCGTCCCCATTGCCAACCCCATCTCTAAGGCCAAACATGTCCCCAGTGCCTACTGTGTCCCCAGAGCTAATCCCATCCTAAGCCAGCCCCATCCTCAGTGCTAGGCACATCCCCAGCTGCATCCCTGAGGCCCGCAGTGTCCCTGATGCTGGCTGTGTCCCAAGGTGGTTTAGGGATTTCCAGCCCAATGCATTTCCTTGGGGCCTGTCCACCCGAGCATGGCTGGAAGGGCTCTACCCAGGCACTGGGTCACTGCTGTGTGCTGTCCATGTGCCCTAGAGACCAGCCTGGACACTAAATCCGTGTCAGAAGCCCATGTGAAGAGGAGCATCGCGGTCAAAACTGTGGAGAGCAGAGATGGAGAGGTGGGAATTCCTCAACCGTGCCCCTCGTGCTGCCTCCCCTCCGCCCCTGCCTCCCATGGGGTGTCCCCAAGGGGACACGGACATGGGGCCACCATCCCTCAGCCCCAGGAGCCGGTGATCCCAGTGCCCTGACAGCAGGGCATGGGCTGCCTCTGGATGTGGTGGAGCTGAGCCTGGCAGCTCATGGGGAAACCATCCCTGTCCCCAGGCCCATTCAGAGCCCAGGCAGGCTCAGCTGGAGCTAGGTGCAGGGTGACGGTGCAGGGTGATGGTGCAGGGTGAGGGTGGTGCAGGGTGATGGTGCAGGGTGACGGTGCAGGGTGATGTTGGTGCAGGGTGACGGTGCAGGGTGATGTTGGTGCAGGGTGATGGTGCAGGGTGATGGTGCAGGGTGATGTTGGTGCAGGGTGATGGTGCAGGGTGCTGTTGGTGCAGGGTGATGGTACAGGGTGACGGTGCAGGGTGATGGTGCAGGATGATGTTGGTGCAGGGTGATGGTGCAGGGTGACGGTGCAGGGTGATGTTGGTGCAGGGTGACGATGCAGGGTGATGGTGCAGGGTGAAGGTGAAGGGTGAAGGTGCAGGATGAAGGTGCAGGGTGATGTTGGTGCAGGGTGATGGTGCAGGGTGAAGGTGCAGGGTGACGGTGCAGGATGATGTTGGTGCAGGGTGATGGTGCAGGGTGACGGTGCAGGGTGATGTTGGTGCAGGGTGACGGTGCAGGGTGATGGTGCAGGGTGACGGTGCAGGGTGATGTTGGTGCAGGGTGACGGTGCAGGGTGATGGTGCAGGGTGACGGTGCAGGGTGATGATGCAGGGTGATGGTGTAGGGTGACGGTGCAGGATGATGTTAGTGCAGGGTGACGGTGCAGGGTGATGGTGCAGGGTGACGGTGCAGGGTGATGTTGGTGCAGGGTGACGGTGCAGGGTGATGGTGCAGGATGATGGTGGGGGGGTGATGGTGCAGGGTGACGGTGCAGGGTGATGTTGGTGCAGGGTGATGGTGCAGGGTGACGGTGCAGGGTGACGGTGCAGGGTGACGGTGCAGGATGATGTTGGTACAGGGTGACGGTGCCTCTCCCTCTGCCTCCAGGTGCTGAAGGAGCCCAAGCAGGAGCCCAAGGAGCTGGTGTAACGCAGATGCCCTCAGCATCCACATGCTTGTAGCTGTAGCTCCATAGGTGCTGTCGGGTGCTGCGAGGGAGCCCCAGGAGGAGCCGGTGGTGCTTCGGTGGGGACATCTCCCTCCCATCCACCCCTTGCATCTCCCACATCCCCCCCTGCCCCAGGGACATCGCTGAACCCTGCTTGGAGCTGGCTCCCAGCAGAGCACCCGTCTGGGTGGGCATGGGCAATACCCAAGGGAGGTGAATAGAACTGGGCAGAGCTGAGGTTCCCAATGGGGATGCCACCACATTCCCATTGCATGGAGGGGCTGGGGGATTTGGGGCCTGCATCCCACCTTGGTGCCCTCTGCCTGCGCTGGGAGGTCACCCCAAATCTCCCCAGTGCATCTGGAACCTGAGCACCCTTGGTGCTGGGGGGCTGCAGGGTGCAAGGTACCGGCTGGTCAGGGACGTTTCCCCATCACCAAGCATGGGGTGAGCAGGAGGAAGAAGAGGATGGAGAAGCAGGGTGCTGTTGGGATGATGTTAAAGGGGAATGAAATGAGGGTAGTGAGGGATTCCTGGGGATAAGGTGGGATGTTGGGGTGTCCGGGGTGCTCTGTGGGGCTGAAGCAGGCTGGGTGGCCACAAGGGCTTCTCCTGGCACAGACCTGCCCTGCATTGGGTGTCCACCACTGCCATTCCCCAGGGGCATGGTGAGGAGAAACAGTCCCAAGGGACTCATGGCAAGGGGTGACCCATGGCCGTGGGGGGGTCCCAGGCAGGGGAAAATAGAGTGGGGGTAACAGGAGAAGGACAAATGGAGCCATCCCCATCCTGCCTGTCCCACTGGGAGCCAGTGGGACTGGGATTGGGGCTGCCCCAGTCAATCCCTGCTGTGCCCAGGGCCCGAGCCTGCCCTCAGAGTGGGCATCCAAGGAATGGATGGAATGGGAGGAATCCCTCATCCTCGGGTTCTATGTGGCTCTGTCCCCACATCTGCACTCCCATTCTGCCCCCTGGACCAGCACGTGCCATGCGGGGCCATCACCCAGCCTGGTGCTCCCCTGCACCTTAGCTGCTGCCCTGATGCCACCTAACACAGGAGCAACAACCTGCAAGCCCTTTGGGGTCAGCACATGGGAAGCCACTCGGATGCCATCGCCCTCATCCCTTCCGTCCCCCTCGTCCCCTGGCTCTGGTGCTGAGTGTACTTTGCCATTGCCGACACCAGCAAGGCCATTCCCAAGGGCAGATGCCTCAGGAGATGGGTGCTGCCCGCGTTTGGCATCCAGGGTGGGATGCTGGCGGCCCGGGGGGCTCAGTCCCGTGCGAGCAGCCTCTGGCTGGAGCTTTGCAGCCCACGTTGCTGCTGAATTAATGCACTAACGCCTGCAGCAGCTTGAGATGAGAAATAAAGCTAAAACAAGTGCTCTGCTTCCACGTTCTGCCTGCAACCGCCTCTCCACAGCCAGGGCTGTGAGCTAGATGGGATTCATCGGGGTGGAAAGGCCCTTTGGGAGCTCAAATGAGCTCAAAGCCATTGGGGGACACAAGCTCAGTGCTGTACCCCAAAGCATGGCCGATGCTTCATGGGCATCCTGTAAGGGACCTTGGATGCTGCCCTCGAGGACAGAGGGATTTCCCTTGGGAAAGCTGAAATCCCCCAGCCACATCCTCAAGCACGGGCAATGAGCCCTGCGAGGAAGTCCTGCTCCGAGCCTCAGAGCAAGCAAGTGGCCACCTAAACCCTGTAGAGATGCCATCCTCTTTGGAGGCCATGCATGGTACTTGTGTCAGGCGTAACTACTGACTCCCAGGCTGGTGCTGAGCCAGGGGAGTTCAAAGCAACCAAAAACCAGAGAAATTTCTGCAGAGAATCACCAGATTGATTTGAAAAAATAAATTAAAAACTAAAATAAAAATAAAAACAAATTACTCCAAAAATGGAACTAAAACCGATGAAACCTGGAGCTGCAGAAAGGGCTCGCTCCAGCTGGGGAGCTCAAAGGAGCGTTGAACAGTTTGAAGTGTTGGCACTCCGAGTTCTCAGCAATGCAAACCAGTAAACAAACAGGGTAAGGGAAGCCAGGATTAATTGGATTTAAGTAGGTTGATGGCTGGTTTTAGCAGCCTTTTAGCAACCCGGCTCTAATAAATCACCAATGTGTTTTGGGAACTCTGTAGAGCTTGGCCAGGAGATCCTGCACCAACTCCAGGAATTCCTTTGGACAAGACTATATTGAGCTTAAAACCCCAGCAGAAGCCAGCAGCAGAGCCAGGAACAAATGGTGCTGGTGTGAAATCCCCTCCCATCCTTGCTAAGCCAATCTGCAGCACAAGGAGCTTTCCACATTGGGCCTCTCCATCACGCTCCGGACCCAGCAGGGAGGCTGAGCAGCTGCCACAATTCCTGCTCAGAACACCAGGGATTTCCAATGGTCCGAGGTGTAAGAGCATCCCGTTGGGGCCATGCTGGGGATGCTGGGTTCAGACAGGGCCCCTGAGCACCCGCAAGCAGCACTGGCACACGTGGATGACGACGAAGAGGATGCTGATGATGATGTAGCTGATGCCGATGATGCGCATGGCGTAGATGGTCTCGGGGTCTTGGAGCGAGCGCCGGCGCCGGACCGGGTGGAACACGCTGAGCCTGAAGCCAGCCACCATCTCACCCTCCCGCCAGCAGAAGTAGGTGCCTCTGTCCCTGCTCCGGATCCTCTGGATGTGCAGGTGGTTGCCGTGGTCAATGAAGACCCTCATGGTCTTGTTGACATGGATGAGGTAGCGGGAGCGGTAGAGCCGCACGGAGCCCTTGTCCCAGGCCACGGCATGCTCGGGGCGGGATCCTGGGCATGCGATGATCAGGTCGGTTCCAATGGGCTGCCTATGGAACTGGGTGGGGACCTGGGGCAACCAGGGCTTCTTACCCAGCTTGGAAATGACGTTGGAGATGGTCTGCACCCCTTCCTCGGGGACCTCGTCCCTCCGGCAAGGGCTCATGCAGCTTCGGATGGCCACCTCGGGGCTTCGGAGGCGGCTCAGCCTCTGGAAGCGAGCAGGGACACCCTTGGAGCCACAGGACGTGACATTGGGCACAGCAGCACGGTACCGGGGGTGCAGCTGGGCTGTCTGCACGTAGCAGAGCCCGATCCGCCGCTGCTCCCCTCTCACCCCGCAGCGGTCGCACCGAGTCCAGTCCCAGAAGGTGGTGAAGAGGGTGATGAGCTGCCCCGTGCGGTCATCCTGGACGTGCTGGCCTTTGTCCTCAAAAGCCACCACGATGGACTTGGTGGGCTGCACGTCCACGTCGTAGCCGTAGAAGTAGTCCCCTTCCTTAGTGCCACACATGTAGTGCCCTGAGTCCGTCACCTGGGCTCGGAAGACGATGAGGCTGAACATCCGGATGCTGAAACGCTTCAGCACGTCGCTGCCGGCGCGGATGTGGCCTGAGTCAACGATCATGTTGCCAGCAAAGTCTGTCAGGACCGTGGTTTTATGGCTGCCCAAGCTCTTCTGGAAGTACCAGGTGACAGAAGAGACCTCTTCAGGCTTGCAATTGCAAGGGAGCTCGAAGGTCATGTCAGCCAGGTAAGCGGCGTTGTCGAACATCAGGAAAGCAGGGCAAGCCATTCGCTTGAACACATCTGCCTTCTCCTCAATCGCAAAAGCATGGAGAGCATCCACCAGGCAGAGGAGGAGAGCAGCTTCCTGCAGCCTTGTCCCCATCGCACCGCACAGCCTCTGCAGTCCCAGCTGACACAGCCACCACGTCCTCAGCCACAGCGTCAGCAGTGTCAGCGCCAGGCAGGGACAATGCACACGCACCAGCTCGCTGGCCTGAGATGGGGTTTGCAAATGACCCCCTGCCTTCAGTGCACACAGGGGTCAAACAGCAGCTGAAATATCCCGTTCCAGCCCAGTACCTGCTGGGAAGCCCTCTGAACAACCCCGGGGCAGGCTGTTTCCCGGGACACGGGCTCTAGAACCCTCCCTCTTCCCAGCTGCTCAGCGTTGTGACTATGAGCTGGCAGCCCCTTTGTGCAGCACAGCCATGGAGGAGAGGTGCAGCGATGGGGAGCGTGGTGGCAACAAGGGAATTGCTACCTTCTTTTTGAAAGCCTCAGTTGCAGTGAATGTTGATCTTTGCTCTGAACCCTCCAAGCACAATGGACCCAGAGAAGACCCTCCGATGGCAGATGACCTCCACAGCCCAGAAGAAAAGGTCTCAAACATGGTAGTTAGACTTCTACATCTTCCCTGATGGCTTTCCAAGGGGTTGTGTGCTGAAGCCCCTCCACACAGGTAATGTTTGAGACTCCCAACCATCTAAGAGACTCTCACAGAGCTGTTCCATGAGGACACCCCGCCCCAAAGATCACAACACAGTTGTCTCGGTAACCAACCTTTATTGTGCAGAACCATTGCTCTGGGTGGCTCCCAGGTACAGAGACAGGCACAGCAGTGCTCCAGAGGTATCTGATTGATCCCCCTCACACAGCAATGCCAAAACCAAGCTTTGAGCCTCTGTTTGTGCCCTATTTCTGCACGATTCTGGTGCTTCTGCTCCTTCAGTTGATCTGGTAACATTTCATCAACTCCAGCACTCTCCTTTCCTCCTCGGTTTCCTTTTGCAAGCTGGCATCCACGAGGCTGGCTTCCTGCTCTGCTCTGCAGCCGGCTGTGCTGCTGGGATGGCCGGGGGTCCAATCCCCCCTGCTCATGCTCCACAGCTTCCTAAACAAACCCCTGCTGCTCTCCTTCTCCAGCTCGCTCAGAAGATCCAGGTTTAACCCGAAGCGCTTGGTGCCCGAAAGGCTCTGTAAGATCTGAAGGATGGCATCTCTGTCTTCATGACAGGCATTCTCTGCCAGCACCGTCAGAAATTCACCCAGGAGGCCATAGCCCAAGTCAGCCTGAAAGATTCTGCCCAAGGCCTCGCCTCCCAGTGCCAGCAGAAACTGGTATTTTAGTTTTCTGCTTTTTAAGCATCTGCGCCAATCTCGGTGAAATTCAGCTGAGGTTCCAGGCAGCCCATCCAGTTCCTGAAAGAAAAAGCAGCTCCTTCGATTTTGTTCCCCCTGATGATTTGCATCCTTCCTCCCCCCCGGCCCCAATCAACCTGTGGATGGCTGAGATGTTTTTAATAGATGCTCATAGCACAAAGGGCTGCATGAAGCTTGTGGAGTGGCAAAAAAAAGACAAGGAACCACCATTTCTGGTTTCTGTGGTGTTCCTCGAGCCCCATAGAAACCAGAGGACTTCAGAGAAAATAAAAGAAGAATGGATGAGGCGTGAAATGTGGTGTGGATAAATAGAGCAAGAGTGGAGTGACCCCAATCCTAACCAGAACCAGACATGCTGCCCGCTGTGGATCCACCACTGCTGCTCGGGAAGGGAGCTCCTGGTGATGAGGGTAGCTCAGTAGAAAGCTCTGCTCCACCTCGAGCACTGTGAGGCAAATCAGAGGAGTAAAGAGAGGAAAGAGATGAGATGTAACCCCCAGAAAACACGCAGATGGCTCTCACCCACCGTCTTGTAACAGACTGCGTTCATAGGGGTCTCTGGCAGAGAGCTTGCGCTACAAGAGCCAAGCTCAATGTGGCATTCCCAGATAAAAGGAAATCCTGTTTTACACAACATGCAGTTGAACTGCTGAACTCATCACCGCCGACTTCTGTAACTCACACACAGACTGAAGGAGCATTAAAATGTTTAGGCTTTCATCCAGAGAGCAAGAACAAGGCCCAGGAACGTCAGGCTGTGTCGGAACACAAACCGGAGAAGCCCTGGAGATCAGAGCCCAGGCGCTAATGGGATTAGGAACAGGATTTGCTCTGGGGAGATCATTGCTCAGTCTAAGAAAACACCAAGCTGCCTAGAGGAGTTGCAGAAACATCTCATAATAAACAGGCAAATTAGGTTCAGTGTCAAAAAAAATCAGAGAATCATAGAATCATGGAATGGTTTGGGTTGGAAAGGAGCTTGAGCTCATCCAGTTCCAACCCCTGCCATGGGCAGGGACCCCTTCCACTGGAGCAGGTTGCTCCAAGCCCCTGTGTCCAACCTGGCCTTGAGCACTGCCAGGGATGGGGCAGCCACAGCTTCTCGGGGCACCCTGTGCCAGCGCCTCAGCACCCTCACAGGGAAGAGCTTCTGCCTTATCTCCAACCTGAACTTCCCCTGTTTCAGTTTGAACCCATCACCCCTTGTCCTATCACTATGGTCCCTAATGAAGAGGCCCTCCCCATCATCCTTGTAGGCCCCCATTAGATACCAGCAGGCTGCTATGCAGTCACCATACAGCCTTCTCTTCCAGGTTGAACAGCCCTTTCTTAGCCTGTCTCCATGTGAAACATCCATAGGAATCATTCTTGCCTACACATCCAGTGACCAGGACATTCCAGCGTGGGCAGAGTCCAAGGGTGAGGGCAGGATAGATGCCACTCCAATCACAAACGACCCAGACAGAAGATGTTTAGACACCATTTCACACAACTGGAGAACTAAGGAGCATCCAGTGAACTCCTCAGGCAGCAGGTTTGGAATAAAAGAACACTTTTCCCATCATTAAACCAGGGCTATGCTGACGGTCTGTAGCTATTAAACTTGATGCTCCAGATGCACAGCCCTGGCTCCTGGTCTCTAAACCGCAGCCAGCTGGAAAAGCGCAGTCAAGGGAGGGCACTCTTCCCTAAGAATCTGTTCCTGGCCACCACCAGGGGCAGGGCACTGGGAGCTCTGCAGCTGGCCTTGGATTCCCACAATGTTGAAGCAGATTCTTGAAGCAGCTGGTGCTCCAGGCGCAAAGTAGGGGCCAAGGCTGAGCTCTGTGGTTATATCCAAGCACCGATGCTCCCAGGGACTTTGAGGGCTTGCTCATGGGTAGAGATACTGCTGAATAACTCGTGTTTTAAGAGAATACCCCAAATTATTTTGGAGTAACGTTTAGATGTGGATAAAGGCCTGGAGAGCATCTCTCTCACCTGGGGTATCTCCACGTCATCGGCTTGCGGTGCCTTGGCATAGGCTGCACAGGGATTCCACAGCACGTTCCTCCTCTGGCCCATCTTGTCCTTTTTCTCTAGGGGCTTGAGGTGTGATGCCAGTACGATGTTCCTGCAGGCAACAAGAAGGGCAAGGGATGCTTAGCAAGAGCAAACACTCTTGGGGCTTCAAGCTTCTTCTCTGGGGCAATTTCTCAGTTTGGACCATAGCGACCTGGACTGGCTGGAGGAGTGACCATAGACTGGAGGAAGGGTGCTCAGGCATTGGAACAGGCTGCCCAGGGCAGTGCTGGAGTCACCACAGAACCATAGAATAGTTGGGGTTGGAAAGGACCTTAAGATCATCCAGTTCCAGTCCCCCTGCCATGGGCAGGGACACCTCACACTAAACCATGGCACCCAAGGCTCTGTCTAACCTGGCCTTGAACACTGCCAGGGATGGAGCATTCACAACCTCCCTGGGCACCCATTCCAGTGCCTCAGCACCCTAACAGGAAAGAATTTCCTCCTTAGATCCAATCTAAACTTCCCCCGTTTCAGTTTGAACCCATCACCCCTTGTTCTATCGCTACAGTCCCTAATGAAGAGTCCCTCCCCAGCATCCCTATAGGCCCCCTTCAGATACTGGAAGCTGCTCTGAGGTCTCCACGCAGCTTCTATTCTCCAGGCTGAACAGCCCCAACTTTCTCAGCCTGGCTCCATACAGGAGCTGCTCCAGCCCCTGAGCATCCTCGTGGCCTCCTCTGGACTTGTTCCAACAGCTCCATGTCCTTTTGATGTGGAGGACACCAGCACTGCACACAGTACCTGCACACCATCCCTGTAAGTGCTCACACCCCATGGAGACCAAGCCTCAGTGCCATGGGGCAGTGCTGGGAACGCTTGGACTGGATGAGCTTAAAGGGCTTTTCCCACGCGGTTGACCCCAGGTTCTGTGATCCCCAGGGCCCCGCACCGGGGTCGGGGCGCTCACAAGCGCAGCGACCTCCTCTCTCCAGAGCCCTTGGAGCTCCAGAGCCCACCCCCGCGGCTGGGGCTGCACCACGGCAGCAGCGCCCGGGCTGATGGAGCCCTTTGGGGTGGGAGCCCCCCGCTCCCCCCTCCCTGCCCCGGTGTCCCCGTCCGACCTGAACTGCTCGTAGGAGGGCAGGCGCTGCTGCAGGGCGCGCAGCTTGGCCGCGTTCTCCCTGTCCCGACGCTCGTCCTCCGCCACCGCCGCCCGCAGCTCCCGCTCCAGCGCCCGCGGGTCCACGGCCCCGTCCGCATCCATCCCGGATGGAGCTCAGCGACCTGAGGGGGACAGGGACACTCCTGGGTGCGCTCCTGTCGTGACAACCCCACTCCTATTGCGATAGTCCTGTCCTGGGGACGCCACTCCTATTGTGATAGCCCTGCGAGGCCCTGACGCACCTACAGTCCCAGAGGCTCTATCGCAATAGTCCCACCAAGCCACATGCACTGCCAGCACTGGGAGCCCTTGCTCTATCGCGACAGCCCTCCCAGGCTGCCGGCAATAGGAACCTTCGCTCTATCGCGACAGCCCTCCCAGGCTCCCGGCAATAGAAACCTCCGCTCTATCGCGACAGCCCTCCCAGGCTGCCGGCAATAGGAACCTCCGCTCTATCGCGACAGCCCTCCCAGGCTGCCGGCAATAGGAACCTCCACTCTATCGCAACAGCCCTCCCAGGCTCCCGGCAATAGGAACCTTCGCTCTATCGCGACAGCCCTCCCAGGCTGCCGGCAATAGGAACCTCCGCTCTATCGCGACAGCCCTCCCAGGCTGCCGGCAATAGGAACCTCCGCTCTATCGCGACAGCCCTCCCAGGCTGCCGGCAATAGGAACCTCCGCTCTATCGCGACAGCCCTCCCAGGCTGCCGGCAATAGGAACCTCCGCTCTATCGCGACAGCCCTCCCAGGCTGCCGGCAATAGGAACCTCCGCTCTATCGCGACATCCCTCCCAGGCTGCCGCAATAGGAACCTCCGCTCTATCGCGACATCCCTCCCAGGCTGCCGGCAATAGGAACCTTCGCTCTATCGCGACAGCCCCGCAGCCCCCAGCCGAGCTGCAGCCACGCACGCGGGCTCCCCTTCCGTTGCCATAGCGACAGGGCAGCGCACACGAGGCCCCCGCGGGGCTGTCCCGACCGCGCCTGACAGAACCGCCCCATTCTCCCCCGACCCGAGGCCACCGGGACCCCGCCGAGACCGAACCCGGCTTCGTCCCGTCCCCCGCGGGGGGCGTCGCTGACGGAGGGCACGGAGCGCCCTTTGGTGACCGGCGGCACGGGCAGCCCTGGGGCCTTCCGCAGCGGTGTCGGCGGCGCCGGAGGCCAGGGCAGCGCGGCGGGTGAGCGCGGGGCCGGGGCCGCGGGGAAGGCGGCGGGCGCTCGGCGGGCGGGCCCGGGCCTTCGGGGCGGTGCGGGCCGGGCTCTTCGGGGCGGTGCGGGCCCGGGGCGGGCAGAGCGGGTGCCGGGGGTGGCCCGGGCAGGGAGCGCTGGGTGCGTGCGGCAGCCCTGTCTGAGCCCCTCCCGCCCCCAGCATGGACACGGACCTGTACGACGAGTTCGGGAACTACATCGGGCCCGAGCTGGACTCGGACGATGAGGACGATGAGATGGGCCGAGAGTCCAAAGACCTGGATGAGGTGAGCGGGGGGCATGGGGCGCGGGGTAGCGGCTCACGGGAGCAGGGGACGAGCACCGCGGGCTTCCTAAGCTGATAGTGATTCCTTCTGCATGCTGGGCCCTGGTCCTGCAGTGGGGCTCTGGTCAGTGGTGGAGTCTGACTCCTAAGGACCCAGGGGGATCTGGTTAAAGATCACAGGAGGGTTGGGCAGGTAAGCTTTGCAGGTCCATTTCAACCCGAACTATTCCATGATTCTGAGAGTGGAGTTGGTTTTTAAAGGATTCAGGAAAAGCTGCTCTCCTGTGCCTGGGATAACGGGAGAGAAAGTTCCTGTTCGAGTCACAGAACCAGGAGCTTCTGCAGCTCCAGTTGTATTTGGGTTTTGGAGGTTCCTCATCCCTTCAGTGGGGTCTTCAGGCCTTTAGTAACATGAGCCAGTGCTGCAGCACGGCAAGGAGCTTGGTTCTGCAGTGCTGAGGGCAGAGCATGCTCCACAGGCACCAGAGGAGAGCGGCAGGGCAGGGGGGACAGCAGAGGTTCCCTGGCTGGGTTGGGGCTCTCTATCACTGTACGACACCAAGCCTGTGCCTTCTGGGCTGCCTGGTGTTTGTAAAGCACTTTGGTGCAGGCGGCAGCTCAGTGTGAGCATTGGTTGCAGCTCGAGGACGATGACGATGATGACGATATGGGGGACCATGACGAGGACCACCCTGGGATGGATGTGGTGCTGCATGAGGATAAGAAGTACTATCCCACTGCTGAAGAGGTCTATGGGCCCGAAGTAGAGACAATTGTACAAGAGGAGGACACGCAGCCTCTCACTGGTAAGTGGTGAGGAAGCAGCAAGTTGGGTGTGGAGGGAGGAGAAGACTCTTGATGGATCCTTGGAAAAGAGGAAATAATATTCCCTTCCCTTCTCCCCACTGGTTTTAATGCCCCTTTCAAATTCCCTTTAGCCCCAGGAGCACGTAGACTCTTGCTTGTCCAGCAGCGTGCAGGGTTTGGCACTTGGGGTTATTACAAATGCCAAACAATGTTTTGAAGAGCAGATACCCAGCAGATCCTGTCCAGATCTTGAAGAAGAAATGAAAATGTGTTTAAGTCATCTCATTTGTGCCTTCTGTAATAGAACAGTTTGGTTGGCAGGGTCCTGTGATGATCATCTGGTGCAACTGCTTTTATTTAGGAAAGCTAAGAGCATCTGTCAGCTTGAAAACTGTGTCTGTGTCGGTCCCTGTTCCCTCCGGCTGTTTCTGAGCCAGCTGGGTTCAGGGGCTCTGGTAACTGCATTCATTGTTCTTCCTCTTGTTTCCAGAGCCTATTATTAAACCTGTGAAAACCAAAAAGTTCTCTCTGATGGAACAGACATTACCAGTCACTGTCTATGAGATGGAGTAAGTAACAGAGAGGGGTTGAAGGGTGGCCAGTGGATGTGGTCCCTCACTCTTGCTTGCTTGCAGGCAAAGGCAGAGGGAGGCAGAGTGATGTGTGCTGTGTGGAGGAGGCACATTGTGGGGACATTGGTTTTGTTTCTTACTGGTAGCACAGCAGAGCTGAGGGCAGCCGTTTGCAGGATTTTGACCCAAAACCAAGTGGAAGGCAGTAGCAGATTAACCATTTGACAGTTATTTTCCTTCCACAGTATGCAGCACAGCGCAGGGTTTTCTGCAGTAGAATGTAACTTAACCTTGGCAGCTGATCTAAAGCTCAGTAATGGGAAACCTTTGTGGGGCAGTTTTGCTGAAGGCAGGTTTCCTTCACTGGCTCAAGAAATACTTACATGGTCAGTATGTGGCACAACTCAAATAGGGGCATTTTAGGTTGATCCCTGTGACCATTGGCCTCCTGCTGTCTCAAATTAATTCCTATGTATCCTGGAAGAAACCTGCTCTAGTGGAAGCTGTCCCTGCCCATGGCAGGGGGTTGGAACTGGATGAGCTTTAAGTTCCCTTCCAGCCCAAACCAGTCTGGGATTCTATGATTTTCTGTGCTGCTGGATATATCTCACCCAACTTTGTTAAGGAATAAAACCTGTTGTTTACTTCCTATATTAAAAATATAAGCTCAGCATCAACGTCTGTTGTCACTGGGTGGAGTGGCTCTGTATCCTCACATAGAAAACAACGTATAGAAACACTATTTGAGGATGAACAGATTGAGCTGCGTGAGTGTCTCATAGGCTCCTCTTTCCACATGCCCCTCTGTGGCTAGTCAGAGCCTGTTCCAGCTTTTAATTGTCATATTCAAGTGGAGATCCCAAAGCTGGATGCAGGGTGAGCAGCAGCTCCCAGTGTGCCAGGCTGGAGGTGTCCCACTTCCTCCCAGTGAGGATCCTTTATTTCCCAGCAACATAATTTCACTGGAGTTTGTATTCACTCACTTGGGTACTTGGATGTCTGGGATCTTTATGGAACGGCTGCTTCCTGGGGCTGTTCCCTGATACTGTCAGTATGGCTGTGCTCATTTATCCAAGAGATCTTTGATATAGCCAGATAGGAACTGAAGAGCCTGCTGGGTCTGATTTCCTTAAGCAATTCATTTTGCTCTTGGTCAATGTCCTGGACTCTTCATCAGCCACCCTTTTCCTGATCCCTGTGTCCTCTGCTCGTTCCATCCGTAATGAATTCCTCTGCCTCCTGTTTGTTGATACAAATGGTCAGGATGGTGCCAAGAGAAATTCCTTGTGGGACTTAGCCAGAAACCTGCAAGCTTGGTATTGATTTCCCATTTAGCCTTATTTTCAGACCAATAAGCAAGATTGTAGTCTGTATTATTATTGATTTTTGCGTTTTTTTAGCTCTTAATCCAAATTTTGCACATTAAAAAGTCAACCACATCACGGAAAATTAAATCTTTGTAAAATAAGATTATTTGACAGCACTTTATTCCCTGCAGACCAATAGCAGTGGATCCATGTTTGTAGCTTCCAGTTATTTTTTAGGGGAGTTGGGAATTTGGGATCTCAGTAATATGTTGCACAGGAACCAAACAACTGATTCTAAAGAGATTTAAATCCCATTACTGTTTGCTAGAGTCCCTGAGAACATCACTGTTTTAAGGCCTGAAAATCAGAACTAATAGTCTATGGAGCCCCCTGGTTACCTTTTAAAACTCCCTGGGGTGCTTGGTGCCCAGCTCTGTGATTTGCTTGACGGCCTGCCACTACTTGAGTGGAAGGATTTCATCATCCCAGTACATGGATGTGACTTTTGCTCCCATACTGACGAGAAGAGGAGAAAAATACTCAATAATATTCCATTGCTGGCAGTTTTACCAGCTCTATATCCTCCCACCCACTGCCATCTGTCTAGGACTCCAACTTTCTTGTCCTCCCCATCTGGAAAGTGGGATTCTTCCTCCGCAGGGCACTGGCAGAAGGAAAGTTTGGAGAGGATTCAGGGGGGACCTTGGATAGAAAGTGTAGCTGAAATGGCACCTGCTTTTCTTAGACGCAGCAGAAGCTTCTAACAGTCTTTTGTGTTTCGTTCCTCCAGTTTCCTGGCAGATCTGATGGACAACTCGGAGCTAATTCGAAATGTGACTCTGTGTGGGCACCTTCACCACGGCAAGGTAGTGTGGGCATCCAGCCTCGGTCGGTGATAGCAATGATCCCTGTGTTGCTTACTTTAATTGATGCTCTAGACCCCTCACTCCCTGCAGCAGCAGTCTGTCTGCTCCTCCTGCTAATGCAGTTATTTCTAGGTTTTAATAGAATCATGGAATGGTTTGGGTTGGAAGGGACCTTAAAGCTCATCCAGTTCCAACCCCCTGCCATGGGCAGGACAACTTCCACTGGAGCAGCTTGCTCCAAGCCCCTGTGTCCAACCTGGCCTTGAGCACTGCCAGGGATGGGGCAGCCACAGCTTCTCTGGGCACCGTGTGCCAGTGCCTCAGCACCCTCACAGGGAAGAGCTTCTGCCTAAGAGCTCAGCTCAGTCTCCCCTCGGGCAGGTTCAAGCCATTCCCCTTGCCCTGTCCCTACATCCCTTGTCCCAAGCCCCTCTCCAGGTTTCCTGCAGCCCCTTTAGGCACTGGAGCTGCTCTAAGGTCTCCCCTTCAGGAGCCTTCTCTTCTCCAGGCTGCCCCAGCCCAGCTCTCTCAGCCTGGCTCCAGAGCAGAGCTGCTCCAGCCCTCGCAGCATCTCCATGGCCCTTCACAAAGGTTTTCATGAAAGAAAACCATGTGGAACTAACAACATGCTCAGCTTTCTGTGTCCTGCTACTGCAGGGATGGGACTGTGCTTGTATTTCTGTCTGAACGTAGTCACCTCCTTTCTCTTGCTGTCTGATACTTTCCAGACGTGTTTTGTTGACTGCCTCATAGAACAGACACACCCCGAAATCCGGAAGCGCTACGACCAAGATGTAAGTGTGCTTTTGGTGTATTCTTGTCCTGAGGAACATGGGTTGGCTTTTACATTCAGTGGGAGCGTGACTGTGTGTGGGTAGCATGTGGTTTAGTGATTAGAATGTAGGATTGGGCAGGCAGAGCTCAGTCCTGGTTCTGCCTGTCACTTTCCATCTTAACTCTGTGTAAAGAGTTGCTATGTCCTGCTTCAAACTTAATATTTGGTACCACTTTGTGATACTCTGACTTTTGTTTTGTCTTTGCAGCTTTGCTACACTGATATATTGTTCACAGAGCAAGAGGTGAGTCTTGTAGAACAGGCAGTGATTTTTATCCAGTTATCTCGTGCTGAACTCACAGTTACTTGCTGAAGGCAGTTCCTTCCATCTTCCATTTTAACATCTTTTTGTGCATTCCACGTTCTGATTATTTTCTTCATTGATGTTTGCCTCAGTGGGATTCCCTGATCCAAATTCCTTCCATTTCCTGCAACCTTCATCATGTGTGATTTATTTATCTGAGATCATAGCCTGTGTAGTGTTGAAAATCTACAGAAGAATTATCCCATTTGGGTAACTTCTTTCTTCCAGAGGAAGAGGTGGAAGGGGGTCACAGCAGTGCAGGATGAGGACAAAAATGATGATTTCAGAATACACGTTTCTCCTTGGTTTCCTTTGACAGGAACCCCTACCTGTGTGCTCTGACTCCATATGGTGGGGCATCAATGGGAATCTTTATTTTGCCCTACTTGCTAAATATTGCCGTGACCAGAACAACCCTATGAAGCATTTATTTTCTCTTCATCCTAATGTTCTACTTTCACACCCTGTGTGATCAGATCTTACTCAATGACGAGTAACTTGGCAGCAGCAGAAGGGTGAAAGCATAGAAAAGCATGCCTATTCTGTCTCTGGTGTTGCATATTGTACTTCTTCAGCTGGAACCAGGGGTGGATCGGGCAGTGGAAGCTCAGCAGTCTGAGCCAGTATGGATGAGTGAGTTGCAGTGCTCAGGATGTCCTGGATGGATGTTTACTTCTTTCCATGTTTCTGATTTTCCTTTAGTCATCTTTTACATCTTTATATGGTCATTTTGCTTTCTTTTAATGGATAATCCTGGTTTCCTGTCTTTCAGAGGGGAGTAGGGATCAAGAGCACACCAGTGACAATTGTTCTGCCAGACACCAAAGGAAAGTCTTTTCTCTTCAACATCATTGACACTCCAGGTGATTGGGTAGTCCTGAAAATCCTGGGTTTGGGATGCACTTAGCTGGAGGCAGCAGATACATGACCATGTGAATCCAGATTTGTTATTAATAATCCTCTCTGGTCCTCTGGGTAGGGCTGTGCACAGGAGCAGAGCAGTGAAAACGTGTACAGTGATGGTTAATGAAGGTCTTCAAAGAGCTTTTGTGTTGGATTGTGTAGCATTGGAAAGAATCTGTATCCTGAAACCTCACTAATACATGGAATGCCATGGAAACGTGGAACCCCATGTTTTGGTTTGTGTTTTTCATGGATGATTCCAGCCTAGTCCTGAGCCTTTAGTTAAGTTCATTCTGAAATCACATCCATCAGTAAGGAGTAGCCAGCCTGATTGAGGGCCAGTGAGGCTGAAAATGTGTTTCACTCAAGTATACAAGAAGCACACATGGAACTGGATTTTCCAGGTATCACCATGCAGTGGGGGCTGTGCTTCTCTCAGATGCTGTTGTCCCACAGTGAGACTTGGCAAGTTCCCTCAGGCCTTTAGCAAGCTCCTTTTGGGGGGGCATAATTGCAGCTCAGTTTGAGGTAAGAAACCAAGGCCAGACTTCAGGAGTGAGGGTCTTGGGACACATGTGTTGAGTTACAGCTCAAGATGAGGGAGGTTAGAGCGCAGGAGGAGACTGGAGGGAGAGGCATCTGTTGTTCTTTGGTAAGAAGCAATCTTCCTCCTTTTCCTGAAGTATTTGCATGGAGTTGTGAGAAAAACAGGAGCAAATGTGAGGAAAAGTGCCTGTTAAAACAAGTTGTTGTGGTTATTCTCAAAAAATAGCATTAGAGCTGAAGCAGATCCCTACCCAGAGCTTTGGCAGCCGCTCTCGGGTCCCTATCTGAGGAGGAAGCCGTCTGTCTTCTGCCTTGCTGGATACCAGCGACCAGAGCAAGCTGCAGAGCAGAAGGGCGGCTTTCCACCCTCTGTGCTGCTGGTGGCAGGGCTTGCTCTGCTTCTCACCACCCTTTTGTGTTCCTGAAGGTCACGTTAATTTCTCTGATGAGGTGACCGCTGGCCTTCGTATTTCGGATGGCGTCGTGCTTTTCATTGATGCGGCTGAGGGGGTGAGTGCCAGGTTTTCCTAGGGGTGAACTTCAAATCAATTCTTCTGGACTCATTGTTCCTGCCTGAGGATGAAGGCCTGGGCTGGGTTCAGCTTTCTGGGCTGAAGGGTTTTTGGAGGACAGTTTGGGAAGCAAGAGTGTTCTCCAGCCAAAACAGGCAGTCAAGCCTCTGGCTTCAGTGTCCAGGGCTGACGTGATGTGGGTGACCCGTAGGCTGATTATCTAACCTGTTTCCATCTCTAGCCCTATGATAACCTAAAATTGAGTGGGTTATTTATATCAGGGAAGTCCAAGGGGTAGGATTCAAGGAATTTGGTTGGGTTAGCACCTACTTTTAAACTGCAGGGTGATGAGCTGATTGCTGGTGGCTGAGCTTAGACCCTTCTAGACTCACAGCCCTGCATATAAGGGTCGCTGCTTTGTCTCTCACGCCCTAGATAGCATTTTGTGAAGGGCTTTCACCAGGGATGTTTGTGCTCTTATTCCCTGCAGGTGATGCTGAACACAGAGAGGCTGATCAAGCATGCTGTGCAGGAAAGGCTGGCGGTGACTGTGTGCATCAACAAGATAGACCGACTGATCCTGGAGCTGAAGTTGCCCCCTACAGATGCTTATTACAAACTCAGACATATTGTAGATGAGGTTAACGGGCTGATCAGGTAGGGGTGTTTGGGATGATGCATTGTTGGTGCTTGCTGTCCCTGTTCTGTTGCGGATGCTTTGCTCTGTGAGCCCTTTGTGTGCCTAAAAACTAATGAGTTTGTCTCTCGATACATTGAATTGTAGAAAATGGGGCAGGAGGGAGTATTGGAAACTCATCTCAACCAATATATTGAATTAGGACTGGCTCTTCATGATGAACTTCTTGGGATCAGCTCTTTTTTTCCCTTATTAAAAAGTAGGGAAAGCAGACATATGACCAGAGCAGGGATCTTCTGTGCTCCCAAACATCTCAAATACACTGAAATTGTCCAGGCTGTATCCCAAACTGTAGGTTGAGATGTCTTAAAACTCCTACACATTTGTTACAAAACTAGTAGGAACTTGCTGTCCCAACCTCTAAACAGAGACTATGATATTGCTATGGTCAAACCTTGCAAGGTCCTGCTCAGAGGAGGGAGGCACATCTCTGGCTTTCACAGCAGCAATGCATCATTCCTGTGATTCTCCTGCATCCAGGTGATTTCCTTAACAGCATTCTCCCCTTCAGGTGTGTAATTTCCACACAAGCTCACTTGCATCTCTCTCTGTTCAGTTGCTGCTGGCATCAAGCAGCTCAGAGCAGGGTGATTTATCCTGTCTAGCACTCCTGTGAACTCATTCAAACTGTTACGAATCAATTCTGTCCCTACATTAATTGCCTTGCATTATCATTTCCCTTGCTTGATTGACCTTCTTTTAGGGGAAGAAAAACTTAACCTGTCAAAAAATACTTGTGCTGCTAAATTTGGAGTTCTGTTTCTTTGCACCCTGATATTTCTTTTGTGCACATGAATCTTGAAGTTTAGAGTCATAAAATGATACTGACTTTGACATTCCTATGGCAGGCGTGCCGCAGCCTCTTTTGAGATGCTGTTTGGCAATGTAGAGCCCTTCCTTGCCTGTTTGGTGTGGGAAGTGGATTTAAGTGTCTTCTTTGGTTCATAACATTGATTTGTTTCTTTTTTTCCGCCCTTGTCTCTAAAAACTGTCTCCTCTCAGCATGTATTCCACGGATGAGAACCTCGTTCTGTCTCCCCTTCTGGGGAACGTGTGTTTCTCCAGTTCACAGTACAGCATCTGCTTCACGCTGGGATCTTTTGCAAAGATTTATGCAGACACATATGGTGAGGATTATCCAGAAACCTTGCACACTTTTAACATCTCATTGCTTGACCTTTTCTGTTGAGGCTTTCTGAGCTATTTAGCTTCAGCTTTCACTGCACGTGTGAGGCCAGGATATGTGTTCTGGAATTTGTAGGAGCTGAGAAGTACTGCAGATCTGTAGCCTGGGTGGTAAACAGCAAAGCTACAGTTCCAGGATGGTTTTAGCTGCATAGTTTCTCCTGAGAAGTGTTTCTTGACTCAGAAGCCACTATTTTTTGCATAGTCTTAAGCATAAAAACCAAGTCCTGCCGTGGCAGTTGGAGGCACGTGGATGTGTTGTGCTTTTGCCTCCTTCCCACAACAGCTCAGTAGTGAAGCAGTTAAGTTCTGCCTGGCTTTTCACACAGGTCTCCAGAGTGTGGGACTCAGCTGCAGCCGGGCACACGCTTGGCCCACAAGGTTTTGCTCTCTTGCCCTCTTTCTTTTTTAAGAAGCTGTCTTCTTCTGGCTTTGATTTAATTTGCTGTTCCCCAGGTGCCCGCTCAAGGCAATCTGCCACTTGTAAAAGCAGGCCTTTTGCTTGCATTAGCCAGCTGTACAGTGGAGGTTTTTGAAGTCTGACACTGGGGAGTTTGGGGTGATCTATAGGATCCCCATGAGCAGGGGAAGAAGGATGTTGTAAAGCAGCTGGCCCAGCTCTTGCAAAGAAGTTAGCCTGAGGGAGGATGGAGTTGTAGGGGTCAGGGACTGATGTGTCAGGATTATCACATGTCCTCATGAGCTTGGAGAAGTAAATGAGCTCCCTGGGCACCACAGTATTAACCCAGTGCCTCCTAGGATGGTCCCCCTTTAGGGAACTGATAAAGATGCAGGGTGCAGGCACAGTCACTAGGGGATGTCATCCGTGTGGGGCAGACACAAGCTGAATGGGTACTTGAAGTCAGTAGTATTCAGTTGTGGTGAGCAGGGATTTTATGTGCAGCCACCACACTTCAACTAACATGAGTTAGAGCAGTTTAACTGTCAAATCTGCAGCCACCATGAAATTTCTTATGCTGCACATCTGCCCACAGCAAGAACTTGTTTGGGAAGTGCTGTAAATTGTCACTGCTGTCTTATTATTTGTAAATTCACCGTGACAGTCAAGCACTGCAGCGTTCCTTCTGCACTTGCCTATGTGCTTAGTGCATCAGCTGAACAAGAGAAGAGAACCTGGAGATGCTCAGCAGGGCAGAAAGTGCTTGTGATAAGCCTGTGGGGCAGATGGGCTGTAAGCCACCCCAGCACCTTGGCACTGCAGCGTCAGGGTGCAGTGTTAATGTCTGGGAGATGAAGCAGATGTGCCTGGGCTCCTGGGCTCTCAGTTACCTTGTGTGTAACTGAGAGAGTGGAACTCTTCCTGAGAGGCCACAGTGTACCTGGGCTGCTGGTGCCATCCGCAGGGCACTGCTCTCTGCTCACCTCTCTGCTTGGTCTCCCCAGGTCAGGGGGTAATCATATATCCAGAGGTGGGACCAAGTGGTCACTCATCAGCACCGCTCCATTAAATTGAATGCACAGGGGTTTTAGGAAAGCCAAGAAACAGATTTTCAAGGTGAGAGAAATGCAGTGACATCTGAGAGACTTCTGTCTTTTTTTTCCTTTAGGAGATATCAACTATCAGGAGTTCGCAAAGCGGCTTTGGGGTGACATCTACTTCAACCCAAAGACGTAAGAAGCCTGTTTAAACATCTGTTAGTTTATGGCTGGGTTTTCCCCTGCTTTCCATGTCAGATGTGGACTAGGTGACAACCCAGGCTCCCTTCCAGCCTATGCTAGAGAAGTGTGTGGGAAGGGTTGAGTCAGGCCTCCTTAGCGTGGGTCCATGTGGTCCTGGTGAATCCCATAAGCAGGAGGAGAGAGCCTCCTCTATCCTTCATTTGGAGTAAGTGTGACTCCTGTGCCCAAACAGCTTCCCAGGGGGACTGGGAGGGGGAAGATATTGTGGGAAGAGCAGAGGTTGTGCTTGCAGTGGGGGTGCTTGCAGGCTCCTCAGGTCTCTCTTTGTTCTCCCAACAGCCGCAAGTTCACTAAAAAGGCCCCAACGAGCAGTTCCCAGCGCAGTTTTGTGGAGTTCATTCTGGAGCCCCTGTACAAGATCCTGGCTCAGGTACTCATCCTGCCTCCCACAGCCCCAGATGGGAGCAGCTGAGGGCTGGCTGCTGGTGTGCCACAGATTCGGTTTGAGGGTGCAGAGCAATGGTGAGCAACTCCTTAACAGTTGCTCCTTGGAAAGATAGCCCTATATTTGCACAGTTAATGGAGCTGCCTTCGCTCTCTCTAGTGCGCTCTAATATCAGCCGGTGAGTTCTGTGTGAGCTCTAAACCAGAGCAGGTCAAGAGCCCTGAGGGTGATTGCTGGTGTGTGAAGCTGCACCTGGAAGCCATTGGTTTGGACCCCTGCAGCAAAGCTGAGGGTGGTGCTTGGTGTCTTGCAGGTGGTGGGGGATGTGGACACGACCCTGCCCAGGACTCTGGATGAACTCGGCATCCACCTGACCAAAGAGGAATTGAAACTGAACATTCGGCCCCTCCTGCGGCTCGTCTGCAAGAAGTTCTTTGGGGAATTCACAGGTAAAATGCTCTTTGGTTTCCCCTCCCAGCACTCCAGTCTCACAGCACCACACTTAAGGGCTGTAATACAGCCATGGAGCGCTCACTTGCACAGATCCCTTCCTGGCTGACCAGATGTAACACAGTAAACCCTTTACCCAAAGGACAGCTTGAGCCACTGCTCACATCTTCCCCTTGGCTGTGGGTGCGCTGCAGTCAGAATGGCTTTGCCTTGTGTAGACTGGAGGCCGTTTTTTCTCTCTCCACTGCTTAATCCTGTCCTCATGAAGTATTACTTTTCCAGGCTTTGTGGACATGTGTGTGCAGCACATCCCCTCCCCAAAGGTGGGAGCCAAGACCAAAATCGAGCACACCTACACCGGTGGCGTCGACTCGGATCTAGGGGAGGCCATGAGTGAATGCGACCCTGACGTAAGGAAACTCTTCTGCTTTGCTCGGAGGGTGCAAAAGCAAACGTGGCCAAGTGTGCTCTCACTGCCTCAACAGGGCCACTGCCCTCCTAGGCAGCCATCTGCACACATTTGACTGGCAGCATTCTGAAACCTCTCATCCGATACTGAAGCAAATCTCTTCACTCTGAGAAACTTCAGCCGCCTGCTAGGGCAGGCCTGGAGAGGAGAATTGTTTGGCAGTGCTCAGAGGAGAACAGGGCTAGGTCAGGACGTCAGAGCACGTGGGAGCTGCGGGGTGATTTTGTGTCCTTTTGTCGCCTTTTTGTCCCTTTTCCTTGAAGTTTGAGTGTGTCTCCAAACTCTGAGGGAGCTCATCTGAATTACACTGGTAAAAATAACCCTGAATTAGTTAGTCAGCACCTTTCCTATCAGAGCCTTGCAGAAACCTTCCTCCTCAAACAGCTTGTACTGAACTGTCGTTCTGAGTTGTCTAGAGCCACCAACGCCAGGCAGCAGCTTAGGGAGGAGTTTGCCCAGGGCTTTTGCTCTGCTGTTTGGGGAGAAAACAAATCTCTCATTTTAACGACTTGTGATAAAATTATACTGTGGTGACTGGCAAGCAGATCACCAGGGGTGGAGGGACCTTATGGGACTGAAAGCTGTGACCTGTGGTGGCTCACGTGCTCTGCCCTGAGCTGGTTTGCAGGCTAGGTGATGCCATTTCTCCTCATGGCCTTGTCCTAACCACTATTCACTGCTTCACAAGAGGAGGGAAAGCTCCAGAAAAAGCCACTGAAGTTGTTTCAGGGGTCTCCACGCAGGGCAAGGAGATGTAGGACTTCCAGGGGAAGGAAATGAAGGACTTGGGCAAGTCAAAAGTGATGTTTCTGAGTTCCAGCCCATTAATCCCTTTGTATCCATGAGTCCTGCCAGGTCTGTGTCTGTTTCTTGACTGCATTTTGAAAGAGGCTTCTTTCTGTCTTTGTCATGGGAAGGGTCCACTGATGTGTCACACAACGAAAATGTACAGCACAGATGATGGTGTTCAGTTCCACGCCTTTGGCAGAGTGCTCAGTGGTACCATCCATGCTGGGCAGCCTGTGAAGGTCCTTGGGGAAAACTATACCCTGGAAGACGAGGAGGATTCCCAGATCTGCACTGTCGGACGCCTCTGGATCTCAGTGGCGAGGTATGGAGAGCTATGGCAGTGCTTGTTTGGGAGAGAAGTCACCTGGAGTGGCTGCTGCCAGGAACAGAGGGAGACAGTGCTGGAAGGGGCCTGAAGCTGGAGGGATGCTGGAGCAGCTCTGCTCTGGAGCCAGGCTGAGAGAGCTGGGCTGGGGCAGCCTGGAGAAGAGAAGGCTCCTGAAGGGGAGACCTTAGAGCAGCTCCAGTGCCTAAAGGGGCTGCAGGAAACCTGGAGAGGGGCTTGGGACAAGGGCATGTAGGGACAGGCCAAGGGGAATGGCTTGAACCTGCCCGAGGGGAGACTGAGCTGAGCTCTTAGGCAGAAGCTCTTCCCTGTGAGGGTGCTGAGGCGCTGGCACAGGGTGCCCAGAGAAGCTGTGGCTGCCCCATCCCTGGCAGTGCTCAAGGCCAGGTTGGACACAGGGGCTTGGAGCAAGCTGCTCTAATGGAAGGTGTCCCTGCCCGTGGCAGGGGTTGGAACTGGAGGAGCTTTAAGGTCCCTTCAACACAAACTATTCTATTACATTCTCCTGCCTTTTAGGTATCACATTGAGGTAAACCGGGTTCCTGCTGGCAACTGGGTGCTGATAGAAGGAGTGGATCAGCCCATAGTGAAGACTGCAACTGTCACGGAGCCTCGGGGCAATGAGGAGGTAACTGTGCATAGCTGGTATCACTCAGCTCTACAGGGAGTCGAGGGGATGGAATGCATCCCAAAAACTCAAGGGGTGAGGTTAGGGAAATGTCTGCTGAGGTGCCAAGGTTCAAGAGCCACTAAGGGAAAGGCTACAGCTTCCAAGGTTGTCTCTAAGGCCAGTGCCCACCTAATGATGCAGTTTCAGCTCTTTGTCCTTGTCTGATTTCAGGCTCAGATCTTCCGCCCTTTGAAGTTCAACACCACCTCTGTTATCAAAATAGCTGTAGAGCCAGTCAACCCCTCAGAGCTGCCCAAGATGTTGGATGGTCTCCGCAAAGTCAACAAGAGCTACCCCTCGCTTACTACAAAGGTATTTGTGGTGTATGTGGGCCTGTTTCCAGCTCATGCTGTGGGCTGCCTCGTGGACTGATCTGAACTCATTTCCCACTGTTGGTTGGTTGTTTGTAGTGTGGTTTTGTTCACGCTGTTGCAGTTGATTTCATAAATCAGGTGGAAATAGCAGAAAACCGTAAAGCCAGCAGGAAAACGCACACCTTGCTGTGCCAGGAAGCATCCTCCTGCAGAGCACATCAGCACTCGCAGTTAGGAAAGGCTGTGGGAGCTTTCTTTGGCATGCTCTGATCCTAACCAGTTCATTTAAGGCTGATGCTTCCTCAGGCTTGTGTAGGAGCCGGGAAGGGAAGGGCCTGAGAGCAGGAGAGCTGTCAGTTGAACACCTCCCTCATCTTTCAGGTGGAAGAGTCTGGGGAGCACGTGATCCTGGGGACAGGGGAGCTCTACCTGGATTGTGTGATGCACGATCTACGGAAGATGTATTCGGAGATTGACATCAAGGTGAGGAAATACCTTAATACCTTGAGGGGGCCTACAAGAAACCTGGAGAGGGGCTTGGGACAAGGGCCTGTAGGGACAGGCCAAGGGGAATGGCTTGAACCTGCCCGAGGGGAGACTGAGCTGAGCTCTTAGGCAGAAGCTCTTCCCTGTGAGGGTGCTGAGGCGCTGGCACAGGGTGCCCAGAGAAGCTGTGGCTGCCCCATCCCTGGCAGTGCTCAAGGCCAGGTTGGACACAGGGGCTTGGAGCAAGCTGCTCCAGTGGAAGGGGTCCCTGCCCATGGCAGGGGTTGGAGCTGGAGGAGCTTTAAGGTCCCTTCCACACAAACCATTCCATGATTTTATACCTGGAACTAGGCTTAAGTGTTGCTGTCTTGTTTGAATGAAGGAATTAGTCAAGCTGCCTGTGTAGGCCTCAGTGGGGCATACACGACACTTGGCAGAGGAAACACTTTTCTCTTGTAGGTGTTCAAAGCTTTCAGACAGTCTCTTTAAAAACAAAGTACCTGAACCCCTTACAAACCTGTTGCTGTTATCGCAGGTTGCCGACCCGGTTGTGACATTCTGTGAGACAGTGGTGGAAACGTCCTCCCTCAAGTGCTTTGCTGAGACACCCAACAAGAAGTAAGAGCCTGTGGGTGAGCTGGGCATGGGAGAAAGGCAGGAGGGGGTCACTGGAGACAGGCTTCATCCCCTCCCAGGGGTCTGTTCTTGGTGGCTGTTGTCCAGGCAAGTGCATGTGCCTGAGTTGACAGCATTCTGTTGCAGCAGCTCTGCTGAGCTCAGTAACACCCTTGCGTCCTAAGGATATTTCTGTGCTTAGTAGGAACTCTCACATTGGAGGCAATAGAGATAGATCCACATCCTTTGTAGGAACTCTCATAATGGAGGTAGTAGAGACAGATCCAAGCCCTCCTTTCTTATACCTACATTTTACACCTCAGCAGTTTTGTGGTGGTTTGAAGACTAGGAGGATCCTAGAGAAGGAGCCAAAGAGCCAGTGCAGCCTTCAGGAGCTCCCCAAACCTTCCATGACAAAAGCTTTCTCTTCTCTCATACTTAATCTTGCAATGGATGTGTTCCTTTCCAGTGATGCACTGGAGCTTTACAGCCTGGTCTCATCTTCCTCCTCCAACAATGCATTATGAGATTCACATGATTGAAAGGGAGGGAGCACACAGGCTAAGCAGGAAGGTGGAGATCTGGGGGCACAGGGCATTTTAATACCTGAATTCTCAGGGAAATCGTGATCCATCCTGTGCTGAAGATGGCTTTCCTGTGTTCCCCTGTGGCTCCTGGTTCTTCTTGCCCTCTTTTATTCCCATACGCTCTCTCCATAGTTGGCAACCTTATTTCTGGGAATGGAAAAGTTCCAGGCTTTGATCAGGCTTTGAACTGTTGGGCATGTGGAGCGACCTGCTCTGGGAACAGGTTCCTCACATTGGTGGGGTTCTCCAAGGCACCATCCCATGTGTCAAACACAGTGAATGCTGGCTTTCCTAGAGGCTTATTGCCTGGCCCATGGGCTTCCCTCTGCAGCCTGGACATCTGGCAGGAGGGAGGGAGCCACTCTGTCCCTTAGCAGCCTGCTTCTGGAGTTGAACGGACTTCAAAGAGTTGTTAAGCACATGGGCTGTCTTCGCAAGCAAGGCAGAAGGACACGGATGGCTTCATCTCCCTAGCTGTGTTCAGGGCAGTGCACAGTCCCTGAGGTCCTGCCAGTTAGTCCCATTTCCATCAGCCTGCAGACTAACTGCAACTGTCTCCCTCCTCAGGAACAAGATCACAATGATTGCTGAGCCTCTGGAGAAGGGACTCGCAGAGGACATTGAAAATGAAGTGGTCCAGATAACATGGAACAGGTATGACTGATCCAGGGAGAGCAGGAATCCAAATCACTGGGTGGGGGAAAGGGAATGCTGGGATCTGCAAGGTGCACAGTATGAGTCCACGGCCTATAGGCAGGGGTCCTGTGTTCAATACTGCTGCCAGCTAGTGGTGAGCATCCCTGCCCCAGCAAACGAGTTGCTTCAGGTGAAAAGCTGAGACCATTTTATGCCTGAGGGGAGGACGGTGGTCATGTTGTGAGTGCAGGTCAGGTACCTGCTTCCTAAAGTTTCTTCCTTTCTCCTTCCATCAGAAAGAAATTGGGTGAATTCTTCCAGACCAAATACGACTGGGATCTGCTGGCTGCCCGTTCCATCTGGGCCTTTGGGCCAGATGCAACTGGCCCAAACATCCTGGTAGATGATACACTGCCCTCAGAGGTGAGAAATGCAGGCAGTGGGGTAAATTACAGCGAGACATTTATTCTGTGATGCCAAGAGGTGACTGCTCCTTCCAGAACAAGGTCCTAATGCAGTTGGGATGCTCATTGCTTTGTCAGATCTCAGATCTGCTGTACTTTCTCCACTATACTCGACCCTAGCTAGGAAATCACCTGTTACTATTCTGGTGTTACTATTTGGGTCAGTGTCTTCAAAATTGACAACTAATTGGTCTGTGTTCCAGCATTACCAAAATAGGGATTCTTAACTTACAGCTCTAGATGCCAAACTCTGAAGATGATGCTCCTGAGCTGTGAGAGGGAGAGATGGACACTGGGGGTATATGGAGACATTGCTGCTCTTCTAGGAACTGGCTGCTTTTCTAGGAACTGGCTTTTAAACACTGCAGTGTGTATGTTACTGTGTTGTGATGCAGGCTTGGTCTGAAGCAGTCTGTCTCTGTAGGTGGATAAGTCGCTGCTGGGCTCTGTGAAGGACAGCATTGTGCAGGGATTTCAATGGGGGACAAGGGAAGGACCTCTCTGTGATGAATGTAAGTAAGCCTTCTGTGGAGAAGTGGAGCTAATGAGATTGATGAAATGCTTCCATATCTGAGCATTCGAGTGAGTTTGCTGGTGCAGTCCCGCAATGGCCAGTTCCCTTCGCACATCACAGCTGGGGCTGCTTGAGAAGGAAGATAAGAGGACTTCTCCCTTCATCCTGGCTGCAGATGCCACCCAGGCATCTTGCTGCCTGCACACAACCACCTGCAAGCTGGCTCCCCCAGACCTTGGCTCTACTCATGCAGTTGAGGTGCAGACCACTGAGCACCCTGCAAGATCTGCTGCTGAGCTGTTTGTGTTTCATATGCAGGGTTAGGGCATGGTCATGCGTTCCCTGCTGGAATACAATGTAGGAGAACTTCTTCCAGTGGCTGTAGGTGTTTGGGTGTTCGCTGTGTGCTCAGGCTCTCTGGGATGTGTGTTCTGTGCAGGGAACATTCCCCTGGGGTCACTTGCTCTCTTTTCTGCCCTTCCTCAGTGATCCGCAATGTGAAGTTCAAGATCCTGGATGCGGTGATTGCTCAGGAGCCGCTGCACCGTGGCGGAGGACAGATCATCCCCACAGCCCGCAGAGTGGTGTATTCTGCTTTCCTGATGGTGAGCACTGCTCTGGGAGGACAAAGACTGACCCTTGCTCTGTGCCAGCACCAAGGAGAGTGGGCTGCATGTGTGCTGCACGGTCTGCCCCAAGGATGTCAGTGTGGGCTGACTCATTCATCCATTAACGTTTCCAGCTCCCCCTGTGGGCTGCCAGACGGGTTTTACAAGTGATCACGTTCCAGTCTGGCTGCAAACTTGTGTGCATCTGCTCTGTCTCCCCTTTTTGCTGCAGTTTGGCTTGCTGGGAAGGGTGGGCGTGAGGAAAAGGGAAGCATATGACTCATGGCCAGGAGGAAAGCTCTTTTCAGTGTTGGTAGCCATGGGGCAGCAGGAACCCTTCCATCCCAGTCAGGCACTGCATTTCACCAAAGCGTGCCAGTCCCTGACTCTTTGAATCAGGTTGTGTTGGTGCTGCTGGAGGCTCAGTGGCTTGTGTCCCTTTCTCCTCACAGGCTACCCCTCGCTTGATGGAGCCCTATTACTTTGTGGAGGTGCAGGCTCCTGCTGACTGCGTGTCTGCAGTGTACACGGTCCTGGCCCGGCGGAGGTGAGCTGCTCTGACCACCCACCATCACCTTGTATTGCACAGCAGCAACTGCTCGCTTGGGATTTGGGTTGCTAGAGATGGCCACAGTCCTAACGCTGCTTGTAAAGCAAGGGGAAAGGGTGAAATCTGTACAATGTGACAGCTGAAAGCTTCCTTGACTGATCCCAGCCCCTGTGCTGTGTGGTGAGGGAATGTCCAGGATCACATCCTGCCTTTAGTTTGTGCCTCGTTCTTCCTGAGTGTCAGAGAAGAGAATGTATAAAGGGCTATGAGACCCTACCCGGGGTACTGGGTGCAGCTCTGGAGCCCCCAGTGTAAGAAGAATGTGGACCTCCTTGAGCGGGTCCAGAGGAGGCCATGGGGATGCTGCGAGGGCTGGAGCAGCTCTGCTCTGGAGCCAGGCTGAGAGAGCTGGGCTGGGGCAGCCTGGAGAAGAGAAGGCTCCTGAAGGGGAGACCTTAGAGCAGCTCCACTGCCTAAAGGGGCTGCAGGGAACCTGGAGAGGGGCCTGGGACAAGGGATGTAGGGACAGGCCAAGGGGAATGGCTTGAACCTGCCCGAGGGGAGACTGAGCTGAGCTCTTAGGCAGAAGCTCTTCCCTGTGAGGGTGCTGAGGCGCTGGCACAGGGTGCCCAGAGAAGCTGTGGCTGCCCCATCCCTGGCAGTGCTCAAGGCCAGGTTGGACACAGGGGCTTGGAGCAAGCTGCTCCAGTGGAAGGGGTCCCTGCCCGTGGCAGCAGTTGGAGCTGGATGAGCTTTGAGCTCCCTTCCAGCTCAAACCAGGCTGTGATTCTGTGACATGTAGGAAGACTGATCTTTGTGATGTATTGGCAGGGGCCACGTGACGCAAGATGCTCCCATCCCGGGCTCTCCTCTCTACACCATCAAAGCCTTCATCCCAGCCATTGATTCATTTGGGTTTGAGACAGACCTGAGGACCCACACGCAGGGACAAGCCTTCTCACTCTCTGTCTTCCACCACTGGCAGGTGAGTCCCTATCCTGCTGAGATGGGGAAGTGGGACATGGTAGGACCAGGAACCAGGTAGGTGCTCTCAGTAGAGCTCAGTACCACAGCTCATGCAGGCAGAACTCTGGATAACATCCTCAGATGGTCTCAAGCTGGGGAGGCTTGTACACCAGCTGTTAAGTGTCTACCAGGAACCGATGGCTTTGGTCCATGTCACATCACCCTTTGCCCTAGTAAGGAAGTGCTGAATGCTGCTGCTTACTGGGTGTGAGGATCCTGTAGTGCCTGGAGAGAGGATGTCTTCATCCGGCAGAAGGGAACCTGTCTGGGTGCATTCAGTGCACTGCAAGCCATGGGTTGCCATGCTTCACTTTGCCTCTCAGAGAGAGCTTTTTAAAACTATGCAAAACAGGGTTTGGGACAAAATATTGTCCTCTGGCCACTCTGTGTTTGGGGCAGATGAGGCTGTGTGGGAGCTCCCATTGTGAGCTGCACAGCTACTGTGGCACAGCCAGGGGAGAGCAGCAGCAGGCATCTGAGCCCCAAGAGCTGGCTTAAAGGTCAAGATATAAAAGCCCGAGGCTTAGCTCTGAGGAGAATAAACGTGCTTTGTAGAGAGGGATGTGCTGACTGGTACCCATGGGGGTTCTGGGTAGCAGGATCTCGGAGGTCTTTCAGCACTGTTCAGGGACTCCTCACCAGGAGTGATGTGACAGCTTTTCTGTGCCAGGAGAACAGATGGGGCTGGTGTGCCAAGGCTTGGGGTGCCCACAGAGCCCTTGGCTGTTTCCTGTTGCAGTTCAGGTTCCCCAGGAGGTTGAACCAGCCCCTGGCATCACTCTCATGTCCCGGCCCTGTTACAGATTGTGCCTGGTGACCCCTTGGACAAGAGCATCGTCATCCGACCCCTGGAGCCCCAGCCAGCCCCACATCTGGCCAGAGAGTTCATGATCAAGACCAGGCGCAGGAAGGTAGGTGTGGGAGGCATCCCTGTGGTCTCCCTCTCTCCATCCTCCCCAGCAGCTGAACTGTTGCAGTGTTGTCCCTGGGGCCTCCTCTCTGTTCCTGTAGTGGACCGATGTCATTTGTGTCTCTTCTCTCGCTCTTGATCCCCAGTGCTGCCTGTTGGTGCCTGTGGTGGTCCCATAAACCACTCATCTGGCAGCAGCTCCAGGCAAAGTGGGGTCCTGCAGCATCACTGAGCCCTGCTCCCTGCTCTGATCCCTCCATGGCCTCGTTTAGCCCATTTATCCTGCAGGAAAAGCAGCAACCAGTTTCTGTGCCGATACAGTGAACTGGACTGGGGAGTTGGAGGAGCTCCTGGGACCGCAGGGTTGGGGCAATCAAGCTCCCCTTTGGGAGAGCAGTGAACTGGTGGATATGCTCAGCAGCAACCACACGTCTGCCGCTTCCTGAGAGGCTATGGGATGCCTTCAAGCTGCTGAGGAGTGCCTCGTGCCTTGCACATTCTCCTGCTTCCTCTGGAGCCTGAAAATTTATCTTGCTGTGGGATAACAGGGCTATTGGTGGAATCTGCCGTGATGTCTGGATGAGTGCTGGCTGCCAGAGGAATCATAGGATGGTTTGGGTTGGAAGGGACCTTAAAACTCATCCAGTTCCAACCCCTGCCATGGGCAGGGACAGCTTTCACTTTCATTGAGCTCAGCTCAGCCTCCCCTCTGGCAGGTTCAAGCCATTCCCCTTGCCCTGTCCCTACAGGCCCTTGTCCCAAGCCCCTCTCCAGGTTTCCTGCAGCCCCTTTAGGCACTGGAGCTGCTCTGAGGTCTCCCCTTCAGGAGCCTTCTCTTCTCCAGGCTGCCCCAGCCCAGCTCTCTCAGCCTGGCTCCAGAGCAGAGCTGCTCCAGCCCTCACAGCATCCCCATGGCCTCCTGGGGACTCGCTCCAACAGCTCCACGTCCCTCTTGTGCTGCTGCCCCAGGGCTGGATCAGGGCTGCAGGGGGATCTCACCTCTGGCTTTATGGTTCCCCTGCAGGGCTTGAGTGAGGACGTGAGCATCAGCAAGTTCTTCGATGACCCCATGTTGCTGGAGCTGGCCAAGCAGGACGTCGTTCTCAACTACCCCATGTGAACGTTCTGCTGTGGCATGAGGGCTGCCCTGCGGTCCTGGCAGGCGTCTGTCTGTCCTTCCCCATCCCTGCTCGTCCAGCCCTGGCTCCTGGATGCTCTGGGCACACACAGAACCTCTCCTCAGGTCATTCTTTCATGGCTGTAGAAGTTTCCTTGGGCATTCCTGGACTGTGCCTGCTCCATACAGCCCAGAGCACTGCTGTTTTTAGTGTCCTTAGTCTTCAGCCATTGTGGCTTCCAGTGAGGTTTTCCCTTTGGATGGGCTCTCTCCAGGCACAGGGGTTATCCCTGGCTGCAGCAAAGCAGTGAGAATGTGATGTCAGGATTCCTAAGGAGTGTAAACATGAGTCAAGCAATAGAGCTTTCTCTTAACCCTCTCCTGGCTGCCAGGGGAGCAGTTTTGCCTTGTACAAAGCATGTCTTTGGGCAGCTAAGGGAGGTGGTTGATGCTGGTGGTGGGAGGGCTTTACCAGCCTGTCCAGGAGAAGCAGCAAATGTGGCTTTTACCTTTTTGTACCTTTTTTGAACCCTTGTAAACATTTAATACAAGTTTCCAGGTGGGGCTGAGTCTGATTGTGCCCAGAGCACTGGGAGAAACTGTGCCTTCACTGGTGCTTAGAGCTCACGCTGTCCCCAGCCACCCCGCTCCTGCATGTAGCTGACTGACCAGCCCTGGATAGTCCTGTCCCACACTAAGGTTTTCTTCCTTTCTTGCTAGGTCTCATTGCTCCTGCTGTGCTTTCAGGTATGTCAGCAGCTGCTTGTGCTCCAAAGGGGTTTTAGTGCTCCCCCTGGCCTGCCCCAGCTCCAGACTGCCCTGGGTCTGCTCCAGACAACATGCTGGGAAAACAGGGCTGGTTTCCATCTCCTAGGGGGATTTATGGGCTCTCTCTGCCCTGGCTCTGCTGGAGTCGCTGTCCCCCCCCTAGATTGGCCCCCCCTTGCTGGCATTTGTGCTGGATTTGCCCATGGCAGCCTGGTCCAGCTCAGGCCTCACCTCCATGAGCCTGCCCCAGAGCATCCCTGTGCTCAGAGGGGCTTGAGGTGGCTCATGGGGGTGTGCAGCGCTCTGGGAGCAGAAGGTAAAACCAAGGACACCCCCTCGCCACCCCAAACCTCCTGGTTGCTGGTGGAAACTGGGAGGCACTGGACTGACGTAGGCACAGGGGAAGGAAGCAGCCCCGGGACTGTGTCCTGTGATGTGCTGGGTCTCTGCGGAAACTGGATGCTGCGGGCAGGGAGATGCTTCCAGCAGAGCCTGGAAACCAGGATGGGGAAGGGCTTCCTGCTGCTGCCAGTGGATAACAGCATCACCCATGTGAGCTGCCCCATCCCATCCGCCCGGCAGGAGGGTGAGTGCTGCCGGGGGCTCCAGCTCTATCTCTGGGCTCAGCCTTTCCTGTTGGGAGTATCCCCATCACCTCCTGCATCCACACCAGCACCATGGCCTTGCTGGTGCCATGTTCCTCCTCTGTCTTGGGGGAAAACAGGATTGAAGCCCTGCTTTGTGCAGCCCACACCTGCCATGCAACCCTGCCACCCCCCCCAGGCCTTGCTGGGGATGCTTTTCACCTCCCAGTGTTGCTGGGCTGTAAGCTGGGTCCCTGGGGAGCAGGCTAGGCAGGGCCTGGAGCTGCACCAGCCCTGGGCTGGAGCAGGATGGGTGCCTGTGGGGCCAGCAGCTTGCTCAGTGCTGCACAGCACGTCCCAGGGCTCCAGGGATGTGACCCTGGCTCTGGAGCCAAGCACTTGGCTGCTCCATCCCATTGGAGCTAGGGGTTTGTCCCAGGAAGGAGACATCCATCATTCCTCCATGGGATGGCTCCGATCCCAACCCTGGGCTCTCCAGAACTGGATAATAGGGCTGGAAGTTCCCATGGAGGCACCTGTACACTGATGGGCATTGGTGCTGGTCATCCCTGCCCTCTGATGAACAGAACCAGGGGGCTGCGATGTTCAATGGGTCCCTATGGGTTCAAGCATCATCCCAGGAAGGGTGGCAGGATACGGCCTGGGCTGGCGTGGGAAGGAGCCGGTTCTCACGCTGGCTGTTCCCAGCCTCTGGAAAACACTGACCTGCAGTGGGGCCCGAGTGGCTGTGCGAGCTCTTGTGGCTGAAAGCCTGGCCCCATATGCACAGGATGGGAATTTTCCATGGAAATGGTTCTTCCCTGGGAATAGGGGCCGTGCATGGCCAGACCCTGACCCTTACCCCCTTTCCAGCTGGAATGCCACTCCCTACCCTTCTCCCTTCACCCCCCCAAAGGGAGCTGTGCAGGGTGCCCTAGGGAATGGGGCTGTGGAGCAGGGAAACTGAGGCACGGCAGCAGGCAGAGCTGTTCCCTGGGGCTGCAGGTGCCGAGGGCTCCATCCTTGGCACGAGTTCGTCAGGGCTCAGCACTGGGACACACCAAGGGGCTGAATGACCCCTCTACAGGGAACGATGCTGCACAGACCCCTCAGTCAGTCCCCAGTGACTTTATGTGCTTCCCTGAGCAACCAGATCCTGGTGTCCCTGTCCCCATCCTGCTCCTGGTGACCTGTCTGCAGCCCCGCTCCTGGTGTCCATGTCCCCATCCTGCTTCCAGTGTGCCCATCCTGCTCCCGGTGTCCCTGTCCCCATCCTGCTCCCAGTGTGCCCATCCTGCCCCCTGTGTCCCTGTCCCATCCTGCTCCCAGTGTGCCCATCCTCCCCCCGGTGTCCCTGGCCCCATCCTGCTCCTGCTGTGCCCATCCTGCTGCCGGTGCCCCTGTCCCCATCCTGCTCTAGGTGTCCCTGTCCCCATCCTGCTCCTGGTGTCCCTGTCCCATCCTGCTTCCAGTGTGCCCATCCTGCTCCCGGTGTCCCTGTCCACTGCCCTGCTCCTGGTGTCTCTGTCCCCATTCTGCTCCCGGTGACCTGCCTGCAGCCCCGCTCCTGGTGTCCCTGTCCCCATCCTGCTTCCAGTGTGCCCATCCCACTCCCGGTGTCCCTGTCCCCATCCTGCTCCCAGTGTGCCCATCCCGTCCTGGTGTCCCTGTCCACTGCCCTGCTCCTGGTGTCCCTGTCCCCATCTTGCTCCCAGTGTGCCCATCCTGCCCCCGGTGTCCCTGGCCCCATCCTGCTCACAGTGTGCCAATCCTGCTCCCAGTGTGCCCATCCTGCCTCCGGTGTCCCTGTCCCTATCCTGCTCCCAGTGTGCCCATCCTGATCCCGGTGTCCCTGTCCCATCCTGCTCCCGAGGAGCTGCCTGCAGCCCCGCTCCCGGTGTCCCTATCTCTGTCCTGCTCCCGGTGTCCCCGTCCTGCTCCAGATTCCCCCATGCCCACCCCGCCCCTGTTCCCCTCCACTGCCCCTGTACTTGCCCTGCTCTCCCTGTCCCGATCCCGGTCCCCCCATCCCCATAACCCCCCCCCTCCCCTTCGGTTTCCCGCGCGCGGGTCCTCTCGCGCACACACCCCCCCACCCCCGGTTGGCGGGGGGGCGCGCGCGCCGGGCGGCACGTGGCGGGTGGGCTCGCGGCGGCGGGGGGGGGGTGGGGGTGTGAGGGGGGTTTTGCGCATGCGCCGAGCGCCCCCCGCCCGGGCTACGGCGGCCCCGGCGCTGAGGAGACTGAGAGCGGGAGCGCGAGAGAGGGGCGGCGTGAGTGGGGCAGGGACCGGGACCGGCACCGGCACCGGCACCGGGCCTCGGGGGGCACCGAGGGCAGGCGGGGGCTGGAGGGGAGCGGATCCCGCTGGCTCTGAGGGGGACGGAGCTGTGGTGGCTGAGGGGAGAGCGGAGCCTGAGGGGCCGGAGCCGGGCGCTGTGAGGGGCGCGGGGCGCTCGGAGCCGAGCCGCGGGCTCTGCGGGAGGCGGGAGCCTGAGGGGAGCGAACCGGGAGCTCTGAGCGGTGCTGAGGGGCGGGGTGGAGCCGCCGGTTCCTCCGCCGCCGTTGTGAGGTAGCGGCCGCGCCCCCCAGAACCCGGCGGGGCCCGCGCGTCCCTGAGGGCTGCCCGGAGACAGCGTTCGGGGCCGGGCGTTGCTAACGCGTTCATCCCGGAGGGAAGGAACGCAAACCCCGTCCCGGCTGGCGGTCCGGACCTGCCCGGTGTCCGCACGTTGCAGAGCCCGCTTTGTGCTGCGGTGCGGAGCAGCGCCAAGTAACAGGTACCGGTGCCCTCGGTGGGGAGCTCCTGCGGAGCCAGCCCAGCTCCTCGGCCGGGCGGGACCCTCGGTGTCCGCTCCACAAGCTAAGAACTGAGCTCCCCTTGCCCAGATGAGCGGCTCTAACACTGAGTTAGCCCTGGAGCCAGCTGTTGTTGTGCGGTTTGACCTTTCTCTGGGCTCCATCTGAACGCAGGGCATGAGGAGAACCCAGCCCTGGTGTCAGGACAGGGAAGTTTCGGCCTCTGTTTGGTCCGACTTTCACCCATCACCATCAGTTGTCACAAAAGCCGTGTTCGTACGGTTATTTTCAGTGGGGGTTTTCAGCCTGTTCTCTTTTCTGCTGGCAGGGGTTAGTGGTGCTTGTGGTCACTGCGACCTTGCTGCCCAGGGAAGTGCTAATTTTGTTCCACCCTCAAATTGATTACAAATAGGAGATAGTGCGCAGGGATTTAATTAGGGCATGGATGTGCAGTATGGATTCTCAGGCAACAGTTGGTAGCACAGGGCTCTGCCTTTTCACTGGGCTTGGGTTTAGAAATAAGAGGGGGAACAAAAACCTCGCGTTTACCAGACCACTGATTAGTCCTGTCATTGCTTCCATGTCTTCTGCCCAGTGGAAGTCAAAGAGAAGTAGTAGAAAGAACTAATCTGACCCTTTCTGTTAGCAGTCTCTGTCCTGTGATGTTCAGCAAAGCAGCCATCAGTGCAGTGACCAAACCCCATCTCTCCTCAGGTCATGTAAAAGGGGAAGGCTGTTGTGTATATCAAGACCTGTGATAAGGAAAGCAAAAAGTACCAAACCCCACCTTTCTTAAGGCAATTTAAAAAGGGAAAGCTGTTGTACACATTAAGACTTGTGATTAGGAAAGCGGAAAGTGCCCTTCTCTGTATATATGACTTTTCCAACTATGTGCCAAAGTTACACTTGTGCTTTCCTGGGGGAACAAGTGAGCTCCGCTCTGGGAAGCGGGATATGGAAGAGTCTGAAAAAGAAAACGAATACACAGCCCCACAGGTCATTTGAGCCTTATTGTGCTGTTCCTTATTCCCCC